TTCATATAAATTAATATTATGAGGTTGATAACATAGTTATAATTCTAAAAATTTCTAAAAAACAATCTTTCTTACACTATTGCAGACATAATAATATACAGAAACATGAGAACTATAAAAAGAAATATACGGATAGAGATGTAAAAAGGCATGACAGTACTCGTTCAAGTTCTAGAGAACGGGATACAAACAATTCCCATTCTAGGTATGGAATCGTGATTCATATCACGTATTATTATTATTATTATTATTGGAAATCTCTGCATACAAGAATGTTGGATGGAGTCGAACATTTATGCTGGGTCGCTAATCGGATAATCATTATTATTATTAGTTTTATTATTAAAGGTCTATTATAGAGAATACATCTTATCGCAGCAGCCGATATCGAGATAGATCAGACGAACGATCTCGAGAAAGAAGAGATAGAGACAGAGATAGGGATAGGGATAGAGATCGAGATCGAGAAAGAGATAGAAATAGGGGCCGATCCAGAGATAGGAGAGATCCAGCACCACATTATGTTGAACACGTACCAGTGCCTATTTATTATGGTGTAAGTACATTTATATCAATTTAATGAATTCTAGGTAGTAATTGATTTATTTATTAATGTTTGATCTTCAGAATTTCCCTCCGAGACCATACATGGTAAGTCCCATGGTCACAATTCCTAGGGGACAGGTTCCTCCTCTAGGAAGAGGTCGGCATCCCCCTTTAATGGGACCAGTAAGACCATTCCCACCACGATTTGTTCCGCCTGATATATATAGAATGGGACCTCCAGCTCCAAATCCGAGTAAGTAAATTTAATCAAAGTGTATAATCAAATGTATGTAATGAAATATAAATCTTTGTAGGATATGGACCTATGTTCGGATAAAACTCGGAAACAGATGGAATTCTTGTTTTTTAGTTCACTTGCAGGCAAGTCGGATCATATGATTTAATTTTCTCTCCGGGACGTATGCGTTTACAAATTTCTGTGGTAAAAAATTTATGTTGATTTATATGAATGTATAAAAAAACTAGAAAGACATAGTTGTATTAAATTTTTACGTAATAGACTACGATAATTATAATTGTATTATACATGTGCGTTTGTTATAATAAATTTGGGATGTTAAAGAAATATATATATGTATATTTCAAGTTTTACAAGCTAAATTCTAATAGATTTATGAAGCAAAATAAAACTTGTGTAAAGAAAATTGAATAGTCTATCGAACTTCCCCAATTATGCGCATTCGCGGGAATTTGTCTTAGTCTGCCTTATTTTTCGTCTTATTTCCGCATGAATTTGGTTATATCTAATTTCATTTCTATTCACTTTTACTTTTTCTTGTCTTCTCGCTTCCATCAATTTCAAAATTTCTTCAGTTATCCATTTTTATTTCCTTGATACTCTGTCTCATTCTAGCGTTCAACGTCATTTCATTGGAGGTCACTCTTTTATCCCATTGTTTGTCAATAGAAATTTGTTGACTTTGGGTAATTTCTTCCACGTCATCTTCATATTTTTAACATCCAATTCAATGTTAGCAACATCTAAGTTGTTCAAATCGACTCTTCTTTAACATTTAGGTCTTTTTATCTTTTTTTATGCGTTAACAAATTTTCGTAAGAAGAAGGTTGTGGTCCGAGGTGATATCTGCGCTGCGGTATGTCCTTATTGCTTTGACATTTTTGTATCTCTGAATAATAGTTATGTAGCCTATTTAATTTCTTACAACTTGTCAATTCGAATCCAACTGTGATTTCCACGTATATAACCGCGCAGCTTCGGCAATTTGAAGAAAATATTTACAATGGCTAGATCTTTTTCAATGCAAAATTAAACAAGTTTATACCTTCGCTCGTTTCTAACATCTAAACCGTGTCTTCCAACCGATGCCTTCTCTCTCATTCCAATATTTGCGTTCAAATTGCCCATTATTATGTTGTTTTTTAACTTCCTTGTCAGGGAATTCAATCCGGAGTAGAATCTTTCTATCTCCTCGTCCTTACATTCTGACGCGGGTATATATTTGGATAAGATTTATTTTATTTTTTATTATTATTTATCTAGGTGTGCAACAAAGTTTCCGGGTTTCACACATGGATGGCGTTAACGACACATGTAGTTGACATACATGTCTGAAGTTGTGTTTTTTTATAGCTTTGACATCTATTAACAATAACCAGTCATAATACCAACACATATCGCAACGCAAAAATATTTTTTCTAACAACGAAGATGTTAAGTTTTATGCCAAATAAACAGCATTTGCGGGAAACTTAGCTTTTCTGCTTTAACTTGAAAAAAGTGCAGCTGAAGCACGTCGTTTGCTTGAGGAGGCCTACAGCGAACATGCACCATCGACAACTACCTGTGAAGATTGGTTTAAACGCTTCAGAAGTGGCGATTTTGACATTGAGGACAAGGAACGCTCCGGAAGACCAAAACCAATTGATGCCGATCTGCAAGCGTTATTAGATGAAGATGATACGCAAACACAAGATCAACTTGCGGAGGCATTAAACATGACTCGCCAAGGTATTTCCAAACGTTTACATGCTATGGGAAAAATTTAAAAGGAAGGAAAATGGATGCCGCATGAGTTGACTGAAAGACAGATGGAAAATCGAAGAGCCACTTCCGAAATTTTGCTTTTACGACATGAAAGAAAAAGTTTCCTGCATCGAATTGTTACTGGCGATGAGAAGTGGATATATTTCGAGAATCCCAAACGCAAAAAATCGTGGCTTTCACCTGGCGAAGCATCAACATCGACGGCACGGCCAAATCGCTTCGGAAAGAAGACAATGCTCTGCGTTTGATGGGGCCAGAAAGGAATCGTGTACTATGAGCTGCTGAAACCGGGCGAAACTGTCAATGGGCATCGCTACCGACAACTGATCAATTTGAACCATGCATTGCTTGAAAAACGGCCAGAATGGGACGAGACATATTGTGATATTGCAGCACGAACGAGTGATATTGCAGCACGACAACGCTCCGTGCCATCGCACTTCCATCGTCCAGGACACTATCAAAACGCTGAAATGGGATCTGCTACCGCACCCGCCGTATTCGTCAGACCTGGCCCCTTCCGATTATCACTTGTTCCGGTCGATGGCGCATGGCTTGGCTGGGTAACACTTGGCTAATTTCGAAGAAGTGCAAAATTGGTTGGATGAATGGTTTCGGTCCAAAGACGCGTCGTTTTATCGTCGCGGTATTCATGTATTGCCAGAGAATGGCAAAAATGTGTAGCTAGCGAGGGACGATACTTTGAATAAACCATTTTTTGTATTTCTCTTGAAATTTTCCATTTTTCATTGATTAAAAAACCCGGAAACTTAGTTGCGCACCTAGTATATTCGTTGGGTTTACTTTAATTTGTACCATAATTATTCTATCCGAATAAGTACAGATATCTATCGCAGTCTTATGCATTGCATTAGTTAATATCATCGCAACACCATTGCGATGATTGTTACTATCTTTTCCAGCGAAATAAACTATATATTCATCCAATACCATCCGGCCATCTCACTAATGCCAAGAGCTGATATGTTTAGCCTTTTCATCTCATTTACTGTATTATCCAGTTTTCCACTTTGAAACATATTTCTAACATTCCATGTTACAATATTGATTGGAGATTTCCTTACTCCGATGTTGGATGACCGGGAGATTTTTCGCACCCTTGAAAACGCACGCATGAACAAGAAACTGGAAGTAGTATATATTATAAAATCAGTACTTCGGGTACTAACCTAAAACCGGTATTCATAGTTGAATTTTATATTATATAAGATCGTCTTAAGTTCTCACTTTCAGATTCGAGGAACTTTCAGATTCCTCGTAGCCAATGAAGTAATTTGTACAGCATCTGAAGATAAACTTAAAACGATCTTAAATATAAGTAGGGATGCAACGATAAATCAATAATATCGATAGACAAGTATAGAATATTTATCGATATTTTTTTGTCTCCGATAAAATCGATATATCGATATGAATTTTACTGATATTTCGTATTTTTCAGTTACAGTTCTGGGAGCCTATTACGGTTCTATGACCGAGATGAAAATTACAAAAGTGAGTGAATTCTGGAATATATATTATGTAATTGGTCGATGTCTAGTAAATTCGCTCATTTTCATCATTTTCACCTCAATCGTTGAACCGTAATAGATCTCCTGCTCCATGTATGCGGTGATCTCCGACAAACGACTGCGGTTTATTATATATTTGCTAATAAGAATGACAATAAATTATGTGAAGATACAAATTTTTAAACAATCTTTTTAAATTTTTCGTGTGTACCTTTATACGCATATCCCTATATGTATACATTTTTTTATACAAATATCGATATTTTCCAAAATTATCGATATTATCGTTATAATCGTTCTGAATGACGATAATATCGTTATCGATATTTTGAAAAATCGTTGCATATCTAAATATAAGATCCGCCTAAGAATACCAGCCTATGACACCCAGAAAAATATATCTTAAAAGTCATTCTTGAGGGAAAAATCGAGGGAAGACATGAATCTGGCAAAAGGAAATCTCGGCTTAAAAACTTAAGAACCTGGTTCAATTGGAGCATTAAATCATTATTCCGAATAGCAGTGGATAAAGTCGAAGTCGCTACCATATTGGGCAATGTTCATAATAGATAGGTTAGTTCAAACTCGGGGAATAAAGAAATAATTCCTGGCCACGAGAACCAAAGTTTCAAATATGCTTGGAGAATATCTGGTTAAGAGGAGGACCTGAAGTTGGACCTAAAAACGTCTACCCGTAGCGAGTAAAAAAAACAAGCGGAGAAATTAGTGATTTCGAAATTATTAGCCTCAACCCAGTGGGTATCAGTTGCACCGCCTTCAAACTCAGCAGCATATATAGAGCGGTGGTTCGAATCAGTTCTCCTCCGACGAACATATATAAGTCACGAAGATTCGGATAACAATGTGCCACAATCGGCGTTGGGCCATGCGAAGGCATATAATAGACTACTACACTCGGTTATATTATTGGCTGATTAAAACTTAACCGTGAGTAGCGGCGCCATATAGCGGCTGTAGTCGGCAGTAGCAAACGAGTGCGGGGCATTGGCGAACGTCGTGTGGCAAACGTGCCACGTCCTGTATGCAAGAACCCTGATGCAACTTCATGGTCTTCATTTTCGTGAGTAGTTAGAAGCGCAACGGATTTAAGGTTAATAAATATATGAATATTTTAATATTTTACTCATTTTAATTAACAATAAATATTCTAGCATGAAAGAAATTACGATCAAAAAGCAGAGAATTAAAGAATTTAAGATTTCATGATCGAATTCTATCTGATTTATTAACAGTATTTTATTCTTATTCATTCTAGACATCTTAAAACATATCTATCGTATCTGTGTTGTATATTTGTATCCATCTGCGAAAAATTTGACAAAAAAATTGAAGGATATTTGAGTGTTCGAATATCTTAGAATCGTGCATTATAATTATTAATTAAAGAGCTTAAAATAATTTTTTATTGATAATTCGAATATAATACAAGGCAATATTTAAACACAATATATTTAATTTGGTAATTCTTAAGAAATAACTAGAGAACAGAATAATGACATACCAATAGTTGTACAATCGAACGATTTTCTTAATCTATTAGCGTAGCACGTGCTACTGCTATACTATAAATGTATATCGAAGGAATATAAAAAAGGTGACAGGAAGAAAATATCTTACAACATAAATAATTGTAATTAACAGTAACTCTAAAATAAAATAAAGCACTTATTAAAATTATAAGCCTACAGGAACGATAAAGTTTATGTAAAAATAGGTACTGTTAACCAAACCAAAATTGGAATTAATATATTTCAGTAACAGATGCTGCTTGATGTTTTATCTTCATTGATGTATCCAATACAATCAATAAATTTACGGCGTGATGAAGAATCAAGATCTACATATAACGAAGGTGACCGTTTAATTACATGGTTGAGGAGAAAAGAGGACGAATTAAGGCGTAGACTGGAATGGACACGTCAACAAGAGTTTGAGATACAACATATAAAATTAAAACAACAAATGATAATAAACTATAACAAAAAACGTGCAGAAGCTATGAAATTCAAACAAACATCTTCATGTCATAGTCGAAGCAAGAGCAGAAGTAAATCGCCATTATATCAACACAAAAAAAGATCCCTGTGGGATACTTCCAAATCTGATACTCAAAAAATCAAAAAGTAAGTTGCAAGCATATAAGTTATATTTATGTATGTATACAATTGAGAAATTCGAAGTATTTCCTATAGAACATTAATTTTGTCTAAGAAAATAATTATTAAATTTGACAAAAAAGACAATTATTAAATTTTATAAACTAAACTTTATTAGATTTATAAGACAAAAACTTATGTAGAGGATTAGTTCGAAATTCAATTTTTTTATATAATATTGAATAACTCTATAACTATATTAAAAGTTGTAAAACGCTAACTGTTTCAAACATCGATTAACTAAAAGTATTATAGTCAATATAATTGGCGATTACGATATTTAATCGTCCAATAAATCTTTCTTCTTAAAATAAGAAAAAGAAGAAACATTAAAAAATGTTTATATATATGTATATAAAGACATTTTTTTACCAATATTATGTAAAATATATTGAGAATAATGACTATAATAAATCTAATGTATCACTATTATATAATCTTTAGATTAGATGAGTCCGCAAATGAGGTAATACCTTTATTCAAGGGTCCTGAGGGTATACAGATTAGTACTGCCGAATTACGTCGTATTAAAGTTGATATTCGTAGGAATATTCCTGCAAAAGGACACATTACCAAATTACAACGGGATATACTTAATCCCGAGGATGTGATCCTCAAGAGAAGAGAGGGTAAAATGTTATATTCTTCTTAATATTCTTTTGTAAAAGATGTATCGCTAAATGACAATGAAGATGTCACCTAGCTATACAACTTTCTGAAATTCGTGCAGTCGTACACATACATGTGTAGTGACAAAAGTATTTTTATTATCAAATTAAAACTCATAATAGACCAATCATATTATTCACTCAAATTGGATATAAGATGATGCTAGAGGAGATAGAGAAATTGAAAAGAAAAATTAACAAGCGAATTAAACGAAAAAAGAATATTGCAGTGCATGAGTGGAGAGAAAAAGAATGATTTGAACGTAAAAATATCACATTATTTAAATAGTCAAAAGGATTGGAAATTATTGTTATTAGTGTTGCTTTTATGTTAAAATTATATTATTGTAATACAGGAGAAGGATCTAAACCGATATTCAATAGGGATGAAATAGAAAAAGTAGTTGATGAAATGGAGGAACGACGTACGGTTGTAGCTATAGATGGCGAGCAATCAGGTATTATTGTAAATAACCGTAATTATTATTCAAATCAGTGTAATAAAATCGAAGGATCGAGTTTGATTTTCTTTCAAAACACGCCAATCTTCGAACAAATAACTGTTTAACTGTTCCTCTTTTAGAAGAGAATGGGTTAAAGTTAAAGTAAAGTTAAGTTAAAGTTAGGAAAGTCGATAAAATCGGTTTGCATATCACAAATAAAGTTTCTGTGGATCACGATCTTTTTTTTTTGTATCAATTTTTAGTTTTTATTTTTTGATGCATAAGTCGCAAATATCTGCCGTGTTATAAAACATTGGTGATATGAAAATGTATATTTCTTTAACCGTACGATTTTCGATTCCAGCAAACAAAATACGAATTTCGAAAAGGCGTTCGTCATCATTGAGCCCTATTAGGAATCGCAGTCATAGTCCTGGATATCTATCTTCCTATCATACCAGGTACGTTTAATTGTTATTTATAATCTGCTAATAATTGTTAAATACATTCCTTAATAATTCCTTAATATTTTCTTTCATCCTATTTCAGATATAGAAGTGCTGAATCAAAAAATCATGATAAAAGAATAGAATACACTGACTATCATACAAGTGATAGGTAAGGACATATATTATGTATTATTAATTTATTACCAAAAGCAAATTGAACTTGCTTTTTTCTTAAATAAATTATATAAGTTAATATTATGTGATTGATAATACAGTTATAATTTTATATTTTTAAAAAACAATTCTCTTACTCTATTGTAGCCACTATATATATACAGACACTAATAATAGAACACAGAAACATAAGGACTATAAAGAGAAATATACGGATAGAAGTGTAAAAAGACGCAACAGTACTCGTTCAAGTTCTAGAGAACGGGATATACGCAATGATCATTCTAGGTATGGAATAGTGATTCGCGTATTACATCGTAATATTATAGTGTATTATTGTAAACTTCTGCATACAAAAAGAATGTCAGATAGAATTGAACATTTACGCTGGAAAAATCAGATAATCGTTATTATCATTGATTTTATTATTAAAGGTCCATTATAGAAAACAGATCTTATCGCAACCAATATCAAAATAAATCAAATGGACGTTCTTGGGAAAGAAGAGATAGAGACAGAGATTGGAACAGTGATAGGAACAGGGATAGATGTAGGGATACGGATAGAGATAGAGACAGGGACAGGGATAGGGATAGAAACAGTGATAGGGATAGAGGTAAGTCTAAAGACAGTAATAGGAGAAAAGATCAAGATCGAGAAAGATATAGGAATAAAAACAGAGATAGGAGAGATCCAGTGCCACATTATGTTGAACATGCACCAGTGCCTATTTATTATGGTGTAAGTACATTTATATAAATTTAATTTAACGTTTTTTATAATTGATTTATTTATTAACATAATTTTTATCTTCAGAATTTACCTCCGGGACCAATCATGATAAGCCCCATGGTCACAATTCCTAGAAGACAGGTCCCTCCTTTGGGAAGAAGTCAACATCCTCCCTTAATGGGATTAATAAGACCTTTCCCACCGCGATTTATAGCGCCCGATATGTATAGAATAAGATCTCCAGCTCCAAATTCAAGTAAGTAAATTTAATCAATGTAGTCAAACATTATATGGAATATGATAAATCTTTGCAGGACTTATGTTTGTATTAGTCGTAAAAAACATTGACTTTTTTTAAGAAAGTAGTTATTAAATTCTGTAAGTTAAATTTTATCAAGTTTATAACACAAGATAAAACCTGCATAGAAAATTACAAATATAACAGCTCACAATTTTTTTGTATAATGTCAAATAACTCTATAACTCTGTTGCAAAACAACTGCTTCATATATTAATTCACTAAAAGTACAAATCAATACAAGTACAAATCAATACAAGTACAAATCAATACAAAATTAGTAGTTTATTATACTCGATCAGGAAATAAATTTTATTTTCTCTTTTTAAATTCTCTTTCTTTAAGATAAAAAGAAAAAAAATATTTAAAAAATACTTCTAAATTATATATATATGTATGTTTCTATATATAAGCATTCTTTTGCTAATATTATGTAGAATATATTGAAAAGAACGATTACAATATATCACGACTATATCATCTTTAGATTAAATGAGTGTGCAAGTGGGGCAGTACCTTTATTCAAGAGTCCTGAAGGCATACAGATTAGTACTGCGGAATTACGTCGTATTAAAATTAACATTCGTAGGAATATCCTTGCAAAAAGATGCATCACCGAATTACAACGGGATATACTTAATCCCGAGGATATGATCTTCAAGAGAAGAGAGGATAAAATGTTATATTCTTAGCATTCTTTTATGAAAGATGTATCATTAGATGACAATGAAACTTCATTGTCATTTAGTTATATAATTTTCAGAATTTCATGCATTCGTGCGCACATATATAGTGACAAAAGCACTTTTATTATAAAGTTAAATTTTATAATCATATTGTTCATCTTATAATCATATTGTTCATTCAAATTGAGTACATGACAATGCTACAGAAGAAAAAAGAACTGAAAAGAAAGCAAATCGAACAAAATTTTTGCTAATTATGTTTTGTCTTAACTTGTTGCATTGACATTTAATAAGCAGCCTGCATTAAAAAAAACTGCTTTGCAAAACTATTGTAAAATTCGTGAATCTGATTGATATATATCTTTAATCATGCCAAAATTTAAAAGCATACACCAAGCAGATTGACAATTTTACAACAGTTACAAAATAGTTTTTTTTGCTGAAACAGCTACCGACTCCTCGCACTGAACATATGAATTTATTGAGTTGAAGTTCAGAAAGAATAAAGGCATTTTTTATATTACGCGCCTAAGATTATTATATATTACATGGTTTTTAAAGATGTTTTGCAAAACAATTCCAATGTAATTCCAATTTTTCAAAATTTCAACGTTTAATATATTTACATCAGTGACGTTTTACTTCAATATATTACAATGTTTTTCGATACTGTAAATTCAATATAATAAGAGAAGATCAAAGAAGAAACATCCTGAAGAATTACTATTATATTTTTTAAGGTAATGGTTTTTCAAATACCTGCGATTTAGCGTTTACAACCTTGAGTTCATTCATCATGAACTCTTTATGATATATGATATAGCGACTATATAACATATTCAACTCAGAAGAAGTTACGATAAATAATTTTACATTACTACTGTTGTAAAAACCATACGACTTATATTTACTTTTTAAATATCTTTAAATGTTTGATTATTTTGGTAATAATGATACACATTACAAAAATGGTATATAACCGGGAATGTTAATGTAAAAATATATAATGGAAATGTGTGTAAAACTTTCAAACAAAATGAAACAAATATTTAATAATAAATATCTGTAGTATAAAAGAATGTAAAAGTATAATTTTTTATTGGTGCTCAGAAGTGGGAGATATACACAAAATTATCTTCCATTATTTATTATAAATATATTCTATTTCTTTTTAATAATTACGTTATAATGAAATATGAAAACATTCCTGAGGAAAAAAATGTAGAACATATGTTCTATAAGTTTTTTGATGACATTCATGATTCTCTAAATGTAATAAATTTTGTATAAATATTAAATAATAAAATTACATATATTACATGCAGTTTCATGTAATAATTGACAATGATTTTAATATTAATCAAAATATTAATGAAAGAGAGAGAGAGAGCACCTATATCAATATATTAACAATGAAAAAACACCGTATTCGAAGATGTAATATAATAAACGTGTATTATATTTGTTATAAAAAAAGAATTAGATTAACAATAATAAATTAGAAAACAAATTTGTAACATTCGAAGATAGAACATTGCAAGTAGTATCGCAAATGCTACCAAAGATACAACATTGGAAGTTGCTACCAAAAATACAACGTCAGAGATGATATAGTAGATATATGATATTAGAGATACGACGTCGAAAGACACAATAAAAATAACGACGGAAGATATCAAGTATGGTTGTGGATGAAAAGTTTTCTTCTTGGACTAGATGAGTACGTTCTTAAATTATTAATTAAAAAAAATTATTGACCACCAAATATTTCTATCCACGATTGCATAACATGAGAAGATACTAAATCGGAGATACAATATCAAAAATACATCAAAGATACAACACTAAAGATATAGCATTGTAAATATAGTATATTAATTAGTACAATATTGGAAGATATCAGATCAGAAATACATTATTAAAACTATATTATAAGTACAGCACGCAAGATGCAATATTATAAATACAGCATTGAAGATATAATATTGTAAATATATTAAATATACAACATCGAAAGATATCAAGACAGAGATACAGCATTAAATAATATAACAGCAGAGGCATATTGAAGATAAAATATCAGAGATAAAACAACAGGGATATATCAGAGACATAACAACGTAAGATATAACATCGAAGAAATAACTTTGAAGATACGTCGTAAATATATTGAATATACAACATCGAAATATATTGAATACACAACATTATCAAGTCGGAGACTTACGATAATAAAAGATATAATGTCAGAGATGCAATATTGAAGGTAAAATATCAAAAATAAAACGACGAGGAAGATAAATCAGAAATATAACACTCGACGATGTAATATTGAAGATGCATCATTGCAAATATATTATCAGTAAGTGTAATATGGAAAGATATAACATTGGAAGATACCAAATCAGAGATGTACCATTAGAAATATTAAAAACAACCTGTCCTTTATAACTGAACTAGTACGCACTTTTGGAACTTGAAAAGAAACAAGTATACAGCTAACTTTATGTCAAAAAAGAAGAGAGAAATAGAACTAATACAAGCTACTAGTGGTCAGTCCAGTTGCAGAAAGAAAACTTATATCAATGACAATACGGAAAATACAATGAACAGTATTGAAGATACGTCATAAATAATGAAGGTATAATATCGCAAATATACGGAATATACACTGCCATAAATGCAGCATTGAAGATTATTAGTGAAGATCAACATCGTTGATACATTGAATATATAATATCGATATAGATATAACATCAGAAGATATCGAGAAATATAACATTGAAAGTTTCAACATTAGAAGATCTACTATAAACATTAACATTAGGTATGTAATGAGTATATTCTTTGCCTATATAGGGTGGTTGATTATAAGTTGCCAACCCGAAATGTGAAGGTAGATTGGGTTAAGATAAACATAAAAGTCTCATACCGTTTTGCGAGATTCGCATTAATTATCGAGTTATTAATGACAGAAATCTGAGGAATAGGAGCGCGCCGACATAGATGATTGGAGAAGCGTTGCAGCTACTCAGGCCACAGCGTGGCCCACTCGACCTAGCAACTGTTGGCGGCGTGCGGCGAGACGTAGGTCCGGCGAGATAAAATAATGAGTAGCAGCGCATTGTCTTTCTCCTCGCCGCGCACCGGTCTAAGCAGCTGCAACGCTTCTCCAATTATCTATGTCGGCGCGCTCCCATTCTTCAGATTTCTGTCATTAATAACTCGATAATTATTGCGAATCTCGCAAAACGGTATGGGACTTTTATGTTTATCTTAACCCAATCTAATTTCACATTTCGGGTTGACAACTTATAATCAACCACTCTGTATAAGTATCCTGTGTTCATTTAAGCGTACCCATTAATTTCCTTCTATTCACTCTATAAAAATGCATTATCCTTCAAGGAATTAATATGAATTGTAAGGATAAAAGGTAATAATTTATTTGTAGATTTACTTATACATTATATTTACAGGAAATTATAGAAAAATTGCGTCTTCTTTCACAGCCATAAATAAAATAGACTATGTTAAATATTGATTGAAAAGATCATAATGAGTAAAAGAATTATATTTCTAACTATGCAATATGTGATTAAGTGAAATATAATATCATAACTGCCATTTCCAACAGCACGAAAATTGGACGAGGTGAAGTTACTATCAACGTCAACTGTCATTCTAAAGAGATGGCAGGTATAAATTTATTTTATAATATACTATTATTATAGTATACTACATTACTTTTATTTTATTGAAATATATCATGCCTCTAGCCAAATTGGTCTTTGGCCTGCCTTCACATCTTAAATTATGATATAGTTCGTAAGGTTTTTGAGAAATGCAGATTGAATAATCAAAAGATCCAACAATGGATAATACAATGGAAGATATAAAACAGAAGATTAAACGATATATGAAATAACATTAGAAGATACAAATATTTTAGAAGTTTTGCTTAGAAAATTTATCCTGATTTAGGATATTTTCAGAAGATAAATCTTTAATTGCGGGATGTTATTTTATTCTACAGAAACAAGTGATATATTATGCACACTTTTAATGCAGTAGTACAATAAATAATTCTTTTTTGTTATAATGTAAGCAATACTTTTAAAGAGTTATATTCGTGTTAATCATATGTAAACACAATTTACTAATATAACAATATATTTTTTTAACTTTATCTCAACTTTTGATTGCTAAAGATCAAAGTGAATTAATATTAATCGAAGTATGTTAATATCCTAATTTACATCTTTTTCCGCAGAAAATATATTGGCACACATTCATCTTGACAAAAATGCAACTGTCTTGTTGTTAAAAACGAAATTATTGAATTTTTGTTTTTCAGTTTACTTGCAGGCAAGTCAGATTATATGTTTTAATCTTCTCTCCGGGACGTGTGCATTTAAAAATTTGTGGTAAAAATTTATATTGATTTATATAAAACTGGAAAGACAGCGGTGTGAAATATTTACGCCCAAAAAACTGTACGATAATTATAATTGTTTTATATGTATTTCTTATTATAACTTATAATATTAAGTAAATAAATATATTTCTTATATATAGCATATAAATATATTTCTTATATATAGCATGATTTAGCGAAATTATTTCCTAACATTCGAATATAGTTTGCTAGCGTCCCGATCTGAAAAGGATGAAATAAAAAATTTATAAATTTTACTTTTTATTTAATTTAATTTAAATTAATTAAAATTTATTAAATTTTATTAAATTTAATATTCACTGAAACTTATCACTAATTCATGTTAGAGAAAAAAAATATACGATCGCTACCCTCAGAGATACAGTTTGTTTTCCTCACCCTAATTTTCTGACAATATAAGCGTCCTGTGCTGCGATTCTGTAACTCGTTATTGGAGTTAACGACAGTTTCGTTATTGTTGCGCAGCTTTTCTACGGTATACAAAAGCTGCGCAACGATAAAGAAAGTGTCAACTCCAATAACGAGTTACAGAATCGCGGCACTGGAGCCCTTATTTTCGAAAACTTGTGAAAAATATCATATACAATATTTCACCAATGGGACAATTTAATTAGCTGAGAATTGATATCTAGCGACAATCACGAAAATCGTATGCGACATTTTTCAAGAATACGGGTCCTGTTCGATATGCAGCTGAATAATAACTCTAGAAAGCTGACTGATACAGTGTGGATCGCAGAGCGATGCCTGTACGTGGATAAGTTGCTCAATCGAGTGGAGGACCAACCGGTCGTCCCCGGCCCAACGTCGAAATCTTCAAGAGTGGCAACGCCAAGTACGTGATGTTAATCGCACATAGCAAATAATGCTAAAAGGACGGCGGCGGAACGCTATGGAAAACGCAAACTACTTACAAGAGCAAATACGCTCACATAGGTAAAGTCCCGTGGGATAAACGTGTCAGCGACATTAACGAAAGATGGCAATCCCGAATGTCTCTTATGTCGTTCCGAAGATACTTTCGGACCTGAATCCAATTGCGAGGAGTGGCAACTATTAACAGTTACAAAATACTCTATTTCTGGTTGTAAGAAAAAGTTGCGACTGTCGGATTGCCATCGTCAAATTAAAAGTTAAGCAACTCTTATCAACCTGCACTATTAAGAGGAAGCGGCCAAAGTTATTCCTAAAGCCACAGAAACATAAGAGATCACTAGAAATTTGAACCATTAGTCTCAACCCACCAGAGTACATAGAGCGTAGGTTCGAAACCCGAATTCCTGGAAAGACTGTTCTAGGGAAGCCTAAAAAAAAAACGTCCAAACAAAGAAAAGTGCAAAACGAGTAGCACAGATAACTAGCACAAAACAAATAAAAGAATTTGCCACAATCAGCGTTGAGGCATGCGATTCGCCATCGCATTCAGTTATATCCCCGGACGGCCGAACTTTAGTTGCGAGCAACGGAATTGGTAGGCGCGCCGCATAGTGGCCGCGTCGACACTAATGACTATGCGCAGGGTGCCGGCGGGAGCGTCACGCATTCGTCTTCGAGAAAAGCATTCGTCGTCCGTATGCGAGAATGCTGGCGGAGTTCAAACTGCCTGTTATGCCGGCCCGCCAGCTGGATTTCCGTACAGCAGCACGTGCCATATGAAATACTAATGGTAAAAATAATTGTTGCAGAGTATTGCATTGAACATATTATTGTTACATAATTATTTTCCAATTGATTTAAATAACAATATTTGCAGTGTATATTTAACTTAAATATTTATTATATAAACAGAGTTTATTATATAAATTGTAATCGCAATATTCGAAGTTTGTTACATTTGCTTATATAATTTAAACAATCATGTTTAAAAAGCAGTTTTAGGATGTACGAACATTCACTCTTAATACTTCAGTGTCAATACAAAATCATTAAAGTTCATTAAAGTATATATTCAATCTAGAAAATGATTGATAGAGATCGATTGATGAGAAAGATTTTATGTAGGATTTACAATTATCTATTCAATGTCATACTCAAGTATTCAAAGTAAGCTTTTAAATATTCAGTATTTATACTCAAACTGGAATATGAATATTCAGTTACTAAATGCACAAACTCCATCTTATAAGGTATAATTTAAGTAAAATAATTTAAGCATATCCATTAATTTCCATTAGTATCTACTCTGTAAAAATGCATTATCCTTCAAGGAACTATGAATTGTAAGGATAAGATGATTATTTATTTGTATGTTTACTTATACATTCAAAAAAGTAATTTCAGAACAAGTGGAGTCATCTAAATTTTAGAGGATTTTAAAAGAAAGAATATATTATTCAACTTCTTATAATAGATTATAAACTGTATTTGATCAAATATGGGTCAATTTTCTTTATTATATAACAATGTTACAGCAACACACATACCTTTTTTAAAAAGCATTCCAAATATTCTGACTCAGAGCATACAGTTATTTTTCATTCATGTCTAGAGATAGAGCATGACTGAACAAAACAAGTAGACATTCAAATCAACATATCCCTCTTCATGTAAGAGGAAATCCTTTTGAAATAAGAGGAAGACAGAATAATATTTAATAAATTTTACATGAATGGTTCACTTTAATCGCTCTATCAAAAGAGGAATTCTTTTCCCGTAAAAGATTTTGCTTAGAATATGAGATTATGGGAAAAATCACTTTACAAATAGAATATTTTTTAAATGTTATATTTACAGGAAACTACAAAAGTCCTATGTCTTCTTTTACAGCCATAAATAAATCAGACAGTGTTAAATATGAATAAAAAATATTATAATGAGAAAGAAAATTATATTTCTAACTATATAATATGTAATATGTGATTAATATAAATTGGAAATGCCATGGCTGACATTTCCAATTACAGCATGAAAATCAAATGAGATGATGTTACTGTATGTCAACTATCATTCTGAAGAGATGGCAAGTATAATTTTATTTTATAATATATTATTATTATAATATACCATTATAGTATTACTTTTATATTTTATTGAAATATATCCTCTCTAGCCAATTTGGTCATTGGCCTGTCATCTTAAACTTTGATATATTCTATAGGGTCTATGAGGAATATAGGTTGAATACTCAAAAGATCCAACAATATTACCCATATCCAGAACGTGCTTATAACTATGTTAGTGCGCTGTTAACCAATCAGAAGGCATATTGCGTGGCTTTTCATTGGTTTCATTGGTTAACAGCGTGCTAACATAGTTATAAGCATGTTCTGAATATGGGCCTAAATATATATGTAATAACATTGGAAGATACAAATATTTTGACAGTTTTGCTTAGAAGATTTTCCCTGATTTAGAATAATTTCAGAAAAGATAAACCTTGCAGAATGCTTAAAATTTTGCATAAAATTGCAGAATGTTATTTTACTCTACAAAAACAAATAATATATTATACACACCATATAATTACACATTATATGGACTGTATATTAAGTAAGTAGTGCAATAAACGATTCTTTCTTTTGCTATAACTCAAACAGACAGACATGTTGGCAATAACATACATTCAATATATCTTATGATATCATTAAGGCGACATAACATGTTTGTAATATAACATGTTTGCATATTTTGCAGCAAAACAAATGTTTATATTGCTGATTAATTGTGTCCTCTTGCCAATACAATTGGGACATGTTGCAATTTTCATGGCATCAGATTACTTTTTTTATATATACTGCTACAATGCTGTTTTCTTGTATAAAAACAAATCTTTATGTACTTATGTTACTATTTTAATTCTTGAATTCAGTCTTTGCAGATAATCTGGCGAAATTTGTCTATCTGGGAATTCAAGCAATGCTTTTAAAGTTATATTTGTGTTAATCATATGTAAATACAATTTATTAATATAACAATATATTTTTTAACTTTATCTCCAAATTTATGATTGCTGAAGATCAAATTAATATTAACCAAAGTATGTTAATATCCTAATTTACATCTCTTCACAGAAAATATACCAGCACATACATTCATCTTGACAAAAGTGCAACTGTATTCTGTTTGTTGACGCAATTGTTTATTGAATTCTTGTTCTTTAGTTCACTTACAGGTAAGTCGGATTGTTATGTTTTAATCTTCCCTTTAAGATATGTCTGTTTAAAAATTTATATTGATTTATATGAATGTACAATAAAGCTAGAAAGACATACTAGTATAAAATGTTTACGCAAAAAAATTGTACGATAACTATAATTGTATTGTACATATTCTTTGTTATAAATTTGTGATATTAAATAAATAAATATATTTCTTATACACAGCATGATTTAACGAAATTATTTCCTAACATTCGAATATAGTTTGCTAGCATCACGAACTAGGAAGGATGAAATAAAAAATTTATTAATTTTATTTCGAATTTAATATTCACTAAAACTTATCACTAATTCATGTTAGAGGAAAAAATGCATCATCAATACTCCTAGAAATACTATTTGTTTTCCTCGCCCTAATTCTCTGATCACAATGCAAGCATCCTAAATACAAATTCTTTAATTTTGATTTAATATTATTAAAACATATATTTTTCTTTTAATAACAAAAAACGTATTTTACATAGAAAATTCAATCTAATAATTTCTTATACAATGTTGCGATTTTATGTTAAAACATTAAGCGTAGTAGTTATATATATTTTTTTTTATGTACGTTCGATTTTATAAAGTGATTCGTTAGTTAGTTAATCGATCGTAAAATATTAGAAAATTGACGCTTATTGCGATAAACTTCTAAGTATATTTGTCTTTCATAAAAATTATATTAAGCTTTTGCTTTGACCAATGAGGGACTCCCACGATTTAAGTTCTCCGATGGTATGCTCAGATGTTTGTAACGTCTGCTAGGATGGGAGGTTTGAAGTTAAATTGGTTATTATTTGTAAATTTAACAATATGTATTGTATTATCGATAGCCGGGTGAGTAAAAATAATATTTCCTTTCGATATGTCTAAAGCATTAACTTGTTCAAAATGATTTATAAGTAGTGACTTTCATAACCTACCTTCATCTACACTTTCTCATTTGTCAGTTAAGTTTATACATATTATAAAAAATTTATGTAATCTGATTTTTCTTCTAAATTTGATGTTAAGATATAGATTTATAGAAAATCCTTTTACATCTTTATAATTTCATTAATTTACTAAATTCATATATCTTATATAGCAGTACTCATACTGTCAATATAAGGAAATACTTGTTAAACAATCAATTTTATCATAATTATCCATTTTTTGCAGGAGAGATTTTTACAACATCTTAGGCTTATCACGTAGTGCAAGTACACATGCAATAAAGAAGGCTTATAGACAATTAGCGAAAGAATTACATCCTGATAAAAATAAAGATGATCCAGATGCTTCTCGAAAATTTCAAGACTTGGGAGCAGCTTATGAAGTATTGTCGGACCCTGAAAAGAGAGAAATGTATGATCGATGTGGAGAGGAATGTTTAAAAAGGGATGGCATGATGAACAATAATGTTGATCCTTTTGCAAGTTTTTTTGGTGACTTTAGTTTTCATTTTGGTGGAGAATCTCATCATCAACATGAAACTCCTAGAGGTGCAAATACTATAATGGACTTACCTGTCACTTTAGAAGAATTATACAGTGGTAATTTTATTGAGGTAAAATTTTTCTTTTGTTACAAGTACATAGAATTTCTCTCCATTATTTTAATTCATTTTGTTATTTTATATTGTATAGATTACCAGGAATAAGTTAGTTGTGAAAGCAGCAAAAGGAACAAGAAAGTGCAATTGTAGACAAGAATTAGTTACTCGCAATTTAGGAAATGGAAGATTCCAAATGATGCAACAATCGGTGTGCTCAGAATGTCCAAATGTCAAATTAGTGAATGAAGATCGTGTACTGGAGGTAGAAATTGAACCAGGTATGGTAGATGGGCAAGAGACTAAATTTACAGCAGAAGGAGAGCCTCATATCGATGGAGAACCTGGTGATTTGATATTGAAGTGAGCAGATATTTTTTTATACATACAATCTTTGATTTATAAATTAATACAATTATCTACTTACAATTCAATTGTTTGTCATAGGATACGAACTCTACCTCATCCTGTTTTTGAAAGAAAAGGCGATGATTTATATACAAATATTACTATTTCTTTGCAAGATGCGCTACTAGGTTTTACAGTGGATATAAAACACCTAGATGGCCATACAGTAACTATTCAAAGAGACAAAATCACTAAACATGGTGCTCGTATTAGGAAAAAAGGCGAAGGAATGCCTAATTATGATAATAACAATCTACATGGTACTTTGTTTGTTACCTTCGATGTTGCATTTCCTGATAATGAATTTACAAACGAACAGAAAGAAGGTAAGTGAAACAATTATGTTGTATCAGTTTGCGACTTTCTGAGAATTATCATATATATTGCAAATTCTTTTCTATTATTTCAGACATAAGGAAATTACTGCAGCAAAGTTCAGTGAATCGAGTGTACAATGGTATAGGAGGCAAATGAATATCTATTTGTGAATATTTATAAGTTTAGTACATATGTACAAAGTGAGACAATGTAAAGCGGATATTTCGATTGGGATGTACGTCTTGATACTGTATGTTTGTATTATGCGTGGGAGATTTCTGCTTCCTTGTTTCAATACCAATAGATTTGGTAATCAAATTGATTAGTTGGATAGTCGAGTATGTTACATGATTCCATGGAATTTTATCACGAGCATATATATATATATATGTGTTCTAGTTGCGAAAGACTGGTTGAATCGCGGATTTATGTCACCAATCGCATGAATCATCGTCGACAATGATTAAGCAGATTATTTAAATTCCTAAGTTATTTTACGTTTGGATATCATGAATAATGTATGCAAGATTCAGTATGAATGTGGATACATTTTTGCATTTAATATTACGCAACAAGAGAGATATGTTGCATACTTACGATCATACAATTGTACAATCTCAGAATCCTACAGTCTTACGACCTTATGCAATTGTAGTAATTATGATCGTACATTATGGTCACATAAAACAGCTCTCTTGTAGCTGCACCACACAAATTGTGGTTCTGGACATGTAAACGTCAATAAGAGTGCATAATATATATAGTATCGAAATAAAATTAATAATTGCGCGGTACATTTGTAGCCAATTTTTTAATTCAAATATATCTATGTATTTTAAGTGAAAATATTTTATACAAGTCGTTTATTACGGTACATCATGCACCGTCCAACTAAATAATTTATAAGTAAGACGTAAATATCCAAAATTTTAATCTTTTTCTCTCTCTCTCTCTCTTAATTCAAAAGTTTTTAATTTTATGGGGTATTTCATAAGCATTTATATATAAATATCTATTATATAAATATTTATCATATAATATTTATTATTTATTATATATAAATATTTATTATATATTATATTGCACAATTGTGAAAGGGTGATTTTGACGAAATGCACACTCATAAAGGATAGTAAAATATCTTTTTTATTTGTATACTCAGAGCTTGGTCACTGGATCAATCGCCGTAATATACCGTTACACATTGGTTTATTTATACAGATATTGAAAATTCACCGACAATTCTCTTAAGAATCGATGTATATAGCAGCCTGCACGTTAAGTGTATCAGTCATCATCTCGATATAAATTATACTCGAACGAAATACGCGAGAAGTGTTTTCACGCACTGCGGACATACGCAATGTTCTCACCGAGATTTCTATTATCGCGCGATTAAAATCAACCGACGAACCGTGATGCGATGGAAAGATATGAGTATATGCGTGTAAGTGCAGAACGTTCGCGATACAATGAAAGCTCACAGACAATACTTCGGGACACGAAGTATAAAATTCCCGATGTATTGCAGCGCAAACGTCGTGGAGACGTCGTCAGCGCGTGGAAGAACCGCCTTGAAGTGTCTTCGCGAAAATCACAGGTGATTTATCAAATAATTTCACGCTGCAATGGCCCTCCCTCGCCCTCTCTCATTCTTCAAATCTCTGTTTTTGTGGATTCTCTCTCCCACCCTCCCTTCTTTCTCTCTCTCTCCCTCGTTGAGGATATGTACTTAAATTATCATATACAAAAGGTGATCAGTCTAATCACACTGGTGAGATATGTCGTGCCTAAAGGCAGTAACAATACAGGCGCATGTTGAACTCGTCGACGCAGGCACTCTGTTTGCCGTAAGCGTTCAGCCTGCTGACCGAGCCGACTAGTTTGCGACTATTGTCCTCCGTCCTGTAGCGCACCGTGCCCTCGAAGATCGCGTCGCCCGGGGTGGTCTGTATGGTCACGGTATAGTCCATCAGCGTCGTGCCATCCGACTTGTCGAGCCACAGCTTCGCGTCCTTGATGTCCTTGAGATTCAAGATCGCGCACGGCGGATACTTGCTGAGCATGTCGTTGAGCTCGTTGACGAGGAACGACACGCTTTCCTGAAGGCCGGTGTCGTTCAAGGAAATGTTGCTACTGGAGTGGCACATGCACCAGTGATTCGAGATCTGCGCCATGTCGCAGGTGCGATGTTCCGGCACCGGCAAGAACCAGCTGATGCCGCGCGGGACTGGCGCCGCGGCTTGGATCTTGATGCGTCTCTTCAGGAAGGTCTCGTGTAATACATGCGGATTCACCAAGTCCGTCAACGTCTCGTGGAGGTCGAAAGGCGTGGTGAGGCTACGGCTGTTCCGCCGCAGATTGCCCCAGGCCAACGGGTACTTTTCGCGCCACCACTTGGGCAGCACGATGAAGACGAAAGGCAGCCGGTCCTCGGTCTTACCCTGATATGTCTGGCGGAACTCGCCCCAGCGCATCCCATGGTCGCTCATCACCACGAGGACCGTGCGATTCAGCAGACCCTGGTGCGACAAGTACTCGACGAAGTCGTGGTACGAACTGTCGCCCAGCTGGGGATACGTGAAGAAGTCGTGGGTGAGGCTGGACTGCCAGATGAAGGAGAAGTATGGCTCCGTGGCAAATTCAATGGCGGCCTTGCGAGCGTAATGCAGCAAGCAGTCGAAGGTCTTCCTGGTGCCGATGCAGAGATTGGCATTCAGCTTGTGGGTGTTGCCAATGTCGTGCTCGGCGCCGATGCAATACGGCCGCAGGTAGTAGTCAGTCGGCGGCTCGCGGAATCCCGGCTTCAGGTAATTGAACGTCGTCATGCTGCAGGCGTCCTCGCCGAAGACCGTGCGGTAGCCGGCCGCGCTGTACTTCTTCCACAGGAGCGGGCAGTCGTCGAACGTTTTCTCGGGCTTCTGCCAGCACATGTTGTGCAGCTCTTCCTCGTTCAGGCCGGACAGCACCGGCACGAGGTTCGGGTACGTGTTATCCGCGACCTTCGTGTAGCCCAGCATCTCCACGGCGCCGAGCGAATGAAGCGCCTTTACCGTCATCGGCATCATGCGGTGGAAGTTGAGCCGCGAGATCGAGTCGAGGCCGATCACGAGGATGCTCAGGCGATCGCTGGCCGTGCCTATGCCCATACCCAGCACCTGCTTGCACCTCTCCTCCACCCAGGACTTGCGCGGCAGGAAGGCGAAGTAGTCTTTGTATATCATGTTCTTATCGCGGTAACACTCGACCTTCACGAACTCGGCGTTCACGGTGCAGGAGCCTTGGAAAGGGTGGCACTCCTTGTCGTACCTGCAAGTGCAAAGCGGACGTCAGCAGGGGTCTCTTCGTGTGGACGCTCCTTGTGGCCGGTTTGAATAACAAGTAACAAGTTCGGTCAAATCAACCGTTTCTTTCTTTTTGTTTCTTTTTTCTCCTTTTTATACATTACAGGATAACCCTACGGGAAAACAGAAACGCCAACTCACGGTTCCACTACATCAATATTATAATTTTTCACTCGACAATGTAACTGTTATGTCACACTCGCGTGTGCTGGGAAAGTAATGAACGGAGTTAGGTGAACGTACGCGGCAACATACTCACGTGATGGCGTTATCTTGATCCTTCGTGCGCCAAAACGATCGCCAGCAGCAGCTTATATCCTCTGACTTGTTGTGGAACTCCTCCCACGCTAACGGGTTGACGAACAACGCGGTGTTATTCGAGTCGATCAGCGGCGGAGAATTGCCGTACTCGCATACGAGCGGCTTCTCTTTGGTGATGAAACGCTTGATAGCAGGATCGAAAGGATCCATCGCGGGTATCCGGCAGCCCTTGTTGTGCACCAAGAACCCACCGTTGCCGATCAGCGACGGATAGATGGGCTTCAGCTGCACGTAGTGCTCTGCAACGCATTTGGCTGATTCAGTTCAGCGTGACGATCAAAAACGTACACCCAAAAAAAAAAAGTATTTTATCTGTAAAGTTTATCTGTAAAGTTTATCTGTAAAATGATTTTTCCCATAGTCTCATATTCTAAGCTAAGCCTTTTACAGAAAAAGGATTCGTCTTTCGATGAAGCGATTAAAGTGAACCATTCTAAAATTTATTAGATATCATTCTAATTGTTTTCCTTTTATTTTAAGAAAATTTTCTCTTGCATTAATTAATTTTCCTCTTATATCAAGAGAAATATGTTGATTTGAAGGCTTCTTTCATTCAGTCATGTTCTACCTCCAAACATGAACGAAAAAATAACCATATGCTCATGAGAATATTTGGAACGCTTTTTGAAAAAAATATGTGTTGCTGTAACATATAACGAAGATAATTTATCCATATTTGGTCAAATACAGTTTACAATCTATTGCAAGAAGTCGAATAATATATTTTTTCTTTTAACTATGTTTCATACAATTGGTTATGATGAACATCTTTGTAGCTATGAAATCCGTAACAAAATTGATTGGAAATTTATTTATTATGATGATTTTATTTCATTCGTGCTTATTTATTGTAGAACTGGAGAAGTACATCTATATATATATTATTTTCCGCTATATACTATAATAATTTTTTCAAATTAACCAGTATAACCAGTAAGAATAAAGTATAGTAAGAATAAATAATCCTCTTAAAAAAAGATTAAATAGTCTGTGTATAAGAGGAAATTTATATTAAAATCAATAAGATTTGCATTATACATATAACATATAATCCTTTTAACTTTAAGAATAATGTGTTTATATTTTCCTCTTAATTCTAGAGGAATCCTCTTGAAGGTACATATAAGAATAAAATCCTTTAAAATTTAAATGCTTCTACTTGTTCTGAAATTACTTTGTTTTGGGTGCACGAAGAGAAACGGTCGAGCGACGTTTTCGGGCACGCGAGGGAGAAAGAGAGACTGAACTAGGACAAAGCCGATAATGATAAGAGAATGAAATTCACCTTGAGAGCTTTCTTTGCTTTGAGCCATCGCTCCGAATCGGACGATACGAAATTGGCCGGTGTTGTAGCTGTTGATAACGACGAGTGACATTAGCAGAAAAACCAACAGCGCGATTAGCCATCTTTGTAGTCGTAGGCCTCCTTTTTGTATCCTGTTCAACGTCGCGGCAAATCCACGCTCATCGTTCAGAAGGGCCTTTTTGCCGCCGCGAAACACCGCCTGTTGAGAGAAAGAGAGAGAGAGAGAGAGAGAGAGAGAGAGAGAAGCGTTCTTCTTCATGTACTTGTTTGATCTTTTGACGAAGTCCCATCAACGTGAAAATTCGTCAAAAAAAAGTTCCGCTCGTGAATCCAACGTAATTCCGTTTTTCGCAGGAGATTCTCTCCTCTTTCACGCTTATCTCGAGTCGTTCTGCGCACGAATCAGTCAACAATCGTTTAATTAATGACGACTCATCCAGCGATATTTTGAGTGGTCAGTAATTCCCGGCGGTTTGCGCTTACATTAAAGCAGAGCGCGATCGATAGCTGGCGGAGATACGATTGTCGCGTCAAATGCACGCTTGTAATTTCGTAATTTCTGCTCGCTACGATCAGACTCCGCAGACCAGATAATGCTCCGCGAACATTGTAACACGATACACTGCTCCCGTTGCACTCGATTAATAAGCGTGTAGCGTTAATTATCACCGACTCAAATGAGGTGAAACATTCAATATTCTTGGCGTCCTTTGTTCTCACCGCCAGTTCCCGGCGCTCTTGCTCGGATTTCATCAAACATCAAGCGGTGCTTCAAGATTAAAAGTAATGGAATAAATAAGTGAATAATTAACGTCGCGATAATCAATTTCTATCACGATGTTAAATTATTACTCGATGTTTGCTCAAATCCGCGCAGGAGGCCGAAAATTGCTGGAGGGCCGAAAATTACTGAACGTCTCACCCTGCGCGTTAACACATTCGCTTCGGATGGCTCACATATGCGTCTTCCGGGCTCCTTTGCCAGGACCCTAATGATGCACACGGGAGTTTTCAGGTTCCTCGCACTTCTGTCGCAAAAAATAATTGTTTTGGAAAGTATCAGTTCGTTGTAGCAGTTTTTCTCGCGCCTGACGTAACTTAGCCAGAAATCGGTCCCGGCTTCAGACTCAGCTTCAAATATCCTGAAGCGAATGCGTTAACCGCGCGCGTGCGAAACTATCGTCTACTTTACCTCCTCGTGAGAGTGATCTTCACGCATAACAGAGCGGTTGGTTGCGTCGAACACTTTCGTACGTGTCAAATTAAACTGAACCACCAAGATATACATTATCTCCGGCGCATTACGTAGCACGTTATCATGATAATGTATTATCAGATCCCAATATCGCATATATCCACAACGACCAATCTACGAGTAGGCTCGATTTATTGATCTCTCTCATATCTCATCTCGACGAGATGTACGCATCAGCGTTTACTCTGATTGTATCTTCATGTTACATTCTCGCGCGACATCGTTATGATCTTCGTGGAGTTCCCTCAGGAGGAGCGACGGCACGCTGCGAGGTAACCGGCCGGTTGAGCAGTCTTGGTCCTTCCGTGCTTCATTCTCGTCTCGTCCTCCGTCGTCGTGCGAGCCGACTTCTCTCTCTTTCGCCTTTCTGCTCGCTTCTAATTTCGCGATCCTGCGGCCAAGGTGGTTTGCAGGAAGTTAGCCCGTTGACGACGTGCGACTCGTGTCGCAGCAGGAGCGCGGTTCTCCCCCGATCTGCTGCCTCGTGATTATCTACCTAGACGTCTAGTTTCGAGAAACTATCTAATTTCATGACCTCAGCGGGGCCGTGTGATATGTTTCTCGCCTGGTCCGTGAATTTTGTGGTGACGCCGAGGACGATAAGTTTCACGGTTTCTCGCGGGCGATAACCGCGCGGCTCTCCTCTCCTGCGGGCTTGCCTGCGGCTCGGCCGCGATCGTCGCGCGGACCTGGAAGACTTCTGGATCGTTGACTGCGGAGCGCCGTAGCCGTTTCGATAGCGCGTATATATGTATATTTATATATATATATATATGTACGTATGTGTGTATAACGATATTTCGATCAATGAACGTCAGCGGCGATGCGTGAGGGGCGTTTCGGTTTAATCGTTACATTCTGCTTCTATCTGACGATTCGACACGTGCGTCGTCACGCGATAGCGCGGCGACCGCGCGACGACTTTAGGCTGCTCTTCTCGCCGTGAGAAGCGCCGATGATCCTTGCGGTCTAGGAAGTCTCGATTGGCTGGCGGTAGTTTCTATTCGATCGAACTGCTCCCCGTGTCCTCGTATCTTCGATCGTTAGACCGTGAATCATCCTGTCCTGTCATGACGCGTGTCACATTTTCATCGCACGCACGCTCCTCGTCGCCGGATGCGATAAAAACGACCGGGTGCTTCAGATCATCTCTCTCATTACGTCCGCTGGATCGCGCGTCGCTCCTGCCGGCGGGCGTACGTCGTCTTCGGCGGGTGCGCAGCTTGCATCCCTGAAACGATCATCAAGGACACGTTTAGAATTCCCGTTTACACCGGGCGATAGATTATCGATCTTCTCTCTCGATCCGATTTGACTTTGGCTGCATCGGTGATATTCGCTTACTCGCAAGTGCGAAGAGGATCGCGGAGACGGTAAAAAGTCCGGCGGAAAATTTGCGCGAAGACAAAGCGGACGAGCAGCGCACTTGCGAGCTGAAGAAACGCGTGTGAACAGAATTCTGGCCGTTACACTTCGCTTCGTGCGCACGCGAGCTATCAGACCTACATTCTCACCGGCGTGTGTTCACCCGTCGATATATCTATCGTTTTCGATAAGTATATCGCGCGCGACATATAGGAGCCGTTTCCGATTGCGCGAGCGAGCCATGTGTGCCGAGCAAATACACAGGAATGTCTTCGCAGAGAGGCCCGAGAGATGCTCCACTTGGTCCGTCCGTTCGATACTTGCTCTCGTTATCTCTCACCCTACCCGCGGTCGTCCCGAGACATCGGCTGATCCGGCCAATGTCCCCGCGCGGACACGGCTAACTCTTTGCGACGAGATCATCGCGAAGACACGAGGCTCTCGCACAGCAACCGGTCCCCGCGCATGTGAACTCGCGGAGATGAGCCGTGAGAACAGCTGTTCCCGCCGCTCAGCTTCGCCCAGTGGGTGCAACGTGCGCGCTTCCGCGTATACGTACCGCTTACTCGCAGACCCGAGCACCGTGTGCGGCTCTCCAATGGTAACACGTACACAACAGCCCCAAGGAGCCCCTCATAGTGAGGGGTTATCGTTATCCCGATTACCCGTCAACGTGCGCGCGAGGTAGCCGTCGCTCCTCTCCGGCGACGAGAACTCTCTCCGTCCCGCTCTTCTCACCCTCGCGTTTATCCGCGGCCACGCCACGGGGTGCTCGACGTTGAGCCTCGGCCGCGAGCACCGAGCGGGCCAGCCAGCCGGCTAGCGAGATCGGCGGATCGGCGTCCGGCTGCCGAGCCGGCTAGCCGAGAGCCTCGACCTCACCCTCGGCCTCATCCTCGCGCCCGGCGACGTCGGGCTCTCCGTCATCGGCGCGCCGGTCAGCCACCCGCTCGCAGGCACGTTCGATGACCGGTCTCTCTCTCTCTCTCTCTCTCTTTCTCCCTCTCTCTTTCTCTCTCGGCCGGGGGTTGCTTGCACTGGAGAGGCGGCAGGTGGAAACGCGCGAGGCGTTGCCGCGACCCGGCGAACTGGGGGTTCCAGCCAAGTGCGCGCGGCCACCGTGGCCAGCCGAGGACTGGATGAACGGAGAGACGAGAGACGAGGAAGCGGAGAGCCAGGCCGCTCCGTCCTCTGGTCGATAGCAGAGCGTGCGCGTTTCCCTGACGCGCGACGTCGCCGTCGTCGACGACGGCGGCAGCGGTGGCGACGGCGGCGAGCGCGGCTGGCAAGGCGGATTTTCGAACGGCCGTTCCGCTCGCACTCGGGAAGTACCCGGGCCGAGTGCGTCTGCGGGAAGCTGCAATTGTGCCCGCCGAGCGGAAGTTGGCGATTAACGATTAACCGCCGAAGTTCATTGCCGAGCGCGACGCGCGCTCCTCCTCGCGCTCGGCGGCTCTCGCTCTTTCGGAAATACCGGCGAGAGAGAGGGGGAGATACATCGGCGCGAACTTTCTGTCGAGATATTCCGTTTCAATGTGTATTGATCTATCGTGGGGGGGAGGGAGGGGGGAGGAAGAGACTTTTTTGCAGCGATGTTTCTCTTTTTCGCGTAAGACCGCCCTGAGGAGGACGCGCCTGGCTGCGCGAGATGAACGTTTCTTCCGGTTGCCGCGCGCATGCGCGCACCGGCGACGGTGAATTCATTCTCGTCGGAAACGCGCTTGAATTATCGCGGCACGCAAAGACGCGTTCATACGGTCGGTATGAGCGCGACGTGAGGTGAGCATAGCATGACGTGAGGATAGCATAAATGATGAGATTGCGATTAATGCGCGTAATTAAAGCGCTTGCGGGGGGTAAAATTCCCCCTGTCAGAACCATAACGTTGACTCCACGTTGATTTGACGTTGAAATGTTGCCGATGAAACGTTGAATCAACGTTAATTCACAACCCTCATCGACGTCGAATCAACTTTCTGGTTCTGACTGTGGTTACAGAGAGAAAAAGAAAGAGAAGTCATCAGGTGCCTGTTCGAAAGGAAAGCGGAAGAAGAAGAGAGAGACGAAAGGTACTCGTACTTGATAGTCGCGAAGTCACAAAGTGTCCATCGCGGAAATCGGTGCGTCTCTCCTAATTTCACTGTGCACACATACACACACACGCGCGCGCGCACCGTGCGAACACTTTCTTCCGAAGATATCAATTGTATCCTGCCTGTAGTTCGTTACCGTTATCGCTGGGTTATCGCTAGGTTAACGAAAGAGGAAAATCCGACAGCGACACGTACGCAACGCACGTTAAAGTGTAGGCACTTTGGCCTTGCACGTACGTGGCCACTGGAATATCGCATCTATAAAAGATATCATTTCGTTAACTGCGACGAAAGGCCTTCGGGACAATTGCGGGCGAACCAATCGGGCCAGGCGAATTGATTGTTCGCGGATGTTACCTGCGAGGAGCGCGGAAATTCGGGCGCGCTTCGCTTCGTATTCCATTCGGGTCTCGATTTGCTCTCGCACGCTCTAGCGTCCGATTGATTATTGATTGATAAGTCGAATGATAAACTGGCCTTCTCTTAGCTCGATTCTCCACAAAGCTACGTCTCTGTGTCTCTCGAGCTTGCCACGCTGAGAATCTTGGAATCATTCCCGGCAGCATCGTGCGACACTCGTCGAGCTGAAGAAAGAAGAACTTCATTACCGAGAATTCGCGTGCGACGCGGAATAGAGCGAAATATTATATCAATGATACACACTGATAATACGGTTTGCAAGGCGTGACACAAATCGAATACATTTCAACAAAGATTACGGAGATCAACGTACTTACTTAGTCGCGTGTTTATAGTTGTATTGATACGAGCGCTCTCGTGATAAAGTTTATGGCGAGTAAACCTATTTATGTACAAATTTATCGTTAATAATATTCCAGCTTTATAGCTATTAAAAAGCGTGAAAATTTATCACAAGGGGAACAATCGCACGTTTCGGCTGTAAAACATTCGAATGCATGTATACGCAATAATATTAATTGTTTCGAAAGTTTTATGAACCTCACGGTATATTATGCGGAAAATTTGAATAGTCTGGGAAGCAAAGATGTATATTAAATGAGTGCAAACGTTTGGATAGATTTCATGAAACGTATGTATGTGTGTGTGGATCAAGTAATTTTATTAAGAGCCATTTATTCTCTCATTCTACCAAGGCGCGCTTTGAGAAACCCATCAAAACTTTTGCACCTCCACTCCCCGATAGAATCGTGTCTCTTTTAATTTGGAAAAATGACATCACGTATAGTGTGTATAGTTCAACAAATATTGGTATCAATGTTTTCGCATTAAGTGCATATCCGAACGTTATCTATACACATATATTGAGATAAGCTTACTTTACATGGATATATTAATCATATTTATCTCGGAAACTTATCAGTAGCTGATAAGTTTGGGAGCCACGTTGCTGGTGAACGCAAAGTAACGTGAGATAACGGAAAATACCCATTGTAGATTTCCATATCGACGGAGGTGTTACCGCATGTGGGTTAAAGATGGCGGATACCTTGATCGTACGCGCGAGGAACAGGTGTTGCCTTTGGATGGAGAAACAAGGACGTCTCGTCGTTTTTAGAATTAAACTTGATTTTTGCCATTGTATATAAATTATACAGAAGTATCTCTTGTGCGCAAAGGACATCGAAATGTGTTCTATCGCGATCCCACATTATGACACATTATGGTGACGTTTCTCACATCTGACGCGAACAGGCCCACTTGCGATTATTTTTAATCTCTCATCTCGAATGTGATCGGTTTCGGAAAGAGTCTTGAAGCTAAATGAAAGAAAGAGATAATTGTCACGTCGATGAATGATCGTGGATTAAAGGCTCACACCGCTCCGTCATTATAATAATGGTTTATTGTTGAAGTGATATAGTTATATAATGATTCGTAACGTATTTAACTACAATGATAGGTTTCATATATCTAGTACAGTCGTGTTTTTATACATGGATTATACAATATTTACAACATAACTTAGGATCGTACAAGCAATATACTTCTCTTTCCTCTCCTCTGTTTTTCTTTTTTTGGACAATTTCACAGGACATATTACGCCACACACGCGGGCTGACACGGCTATCTCGGGGGGTATCTTTGTCCGTGTTGCACAACACATTTCGCTCGCTCGTGTAAGGTATTTTATGCGACATACATACGACGCGCGTCCCTCAAACGCAGGCCGGTCGTTTACGTTACGAAAATTTTGGTAATACGCTAAATATGTATACACACCGACTGCTCGATACGCTATCCGCTTCGCTACACTTATCGACCATTTACTCGCCACACATACATACACACACACACACACACACACATACACACACACACACACACACACACACACACACACACACATACATACATTCATTTATATATACAATATAACTTTGTTCACGATTCTCTCGCGCGTCAGGGCGTCCTTTCGCACTCTTTCTCGCAAAGGAGAAAGGAATATATATATATATATATATATATGTATATGTACTTTATAGCTTTTCACAGAGAGATAGACTCGTAACTTTATATATAGCAACGCTATATGTATACCCCGGGTACACAATAATCGCTTCGTCCCTGGCTGGTGGATCATTACAACGGTGGAGAAACGAACAGTGCATTTCTCGTACGAGACGTACAAATCCATAAAAAGAGAACAAGTATATCATCCACACGACATCGTAGAAACAATTTCCGGCTGATGTGTGACCGATTAAGGTCGAAGATTAAAGCCACAGAATAAGTTTGAACGCAGAAGCGTTTGACGGTTTGACGTAGGTCGAGAGCTCGCGCTGGTCTCGCTGCGAGGATTTTACATCACTCTTGCGCACATACACGCACGCACGCATGCACACATACACCGAAGGGACGAACATTCTGTCCGGCACATCTCTCTCTTTCGAAGAACATAAAAATATAATCTGATTCACGTGGTAAGTACAAAACGTCGATATGCTTCGGTGCATCGGATTCGATCGATTCCACCCTGTCGTCTTGGTCGGGTCGAGAGCTTCCTCCAGACGACACGACGGAGCTTGCGAATATCTATATCGGTGTGTGTTCCCCGTGTGTACGAATAAACAGCGCGTGTATACACTATACGGTAAGCAGCTATCAGCGATTTTTGATTCTTGGCATACTTAGGGGGAGGCGGCACATCTCGTAGATCCCGTCTCGCGCGAGTTGCGTTCACGTGCCTCTTGTTCTCTCTTCTTTTTCTTCTTCTTCTTCTTCCTTTTACTTTCGTCTCGGCTTGTCGCTTCTCTCTTCTTGGTAACATTACGCAGCGAGAGACGTCCGATCGATGCGGGTGCGCGCGGTCGTTGACGAATGCGCGCCAGGTATCCCTGCTCTTATCAGCTCCGTCACTAATGACAAATCAGAGAGGTGAATTATTCTACCGACACAGCGTGTTTGCCGAGGATGCGTATGGCTTAAGGGTTGCTCTTGCAGGTCCGCTGCACGTGCACGCGCACGTGTCGTTTCACCGTGTAACGCTCGCTCTCCGGGTCGCGCGTTACAGGTGGTTGGTCTCTTTTCTTCTCGTCTTCGAAGGGGAGAACATACACATGGAAGCCGTTACACGAGTATTAATTTGTGAGTATGTACATACACGTAGGATCGACTACACGTAAAACTTCGCCGCGTTATCAGTCATACCGATTATGATATCGTTTGGCAAAATACATGCAAACCCTCCGTGAACTCGAGAGAGAGAGAGAGAGAGAGAGAGAGAGAGGGAGGAGGAAAAGGAGAGAGAAAGAAGCGAATATAAAATGTCAGGTGGCTGTTAACTGCCGTTAACGGCTCGCGGAGGATGTTGTTCTCGGAGGTGATGAAACAATTAACGCTACGGTAATAAATATAATTCGTCTGTCAACGGATAAAAAATTACGCGCTACACATAAATATCTCGCCGCGCATGCAAATCCGGTCGCTCCTGTTGGCGCGACACGCGACGACGACGCTCGCGTCGTCGAGAACGTCGAATTCTCGCAAAATATCTTATTTACAAACTCGATAACAAACGACACCGTGCTGCGTGTTGTATGCATGAATTCCGGCCGCTGCTCCGCGAACGCGAGGAGGAGAGAACGCTGCATTGAGATTCCGGTGAATTTATGCGCGACGTGCAACTCGCCCTGGCCGACAGCTCTTTGCGCGTCCACGCTCGACAGTGCGATGTCCTATTTTGTTCTAGGAAAAAATTATTTGTGCTGTTACATATGCGATTTATTAAACATTTGGTATTATTTACGTAAATAATTATACATTTTTTTTTTCTTTATACGAATACGATGAGTTCTCTAGGCGGTAGCCGTGCCAGAATTGGAAATCCGCGGAGGTGAAGTAAATAATAAATAACTTATAAATTAGATTACACACACGTTGCACGCGCGAACGCGTGCAGCGCGTGCGAAAGAAGAAGTATTTGCACTTATCGCTCTTTCTTCGGCGTAAATTTAGGCAAAAGGAGGAAAATATCTCGTCGCAAAGTTTCTACTTGGCGCTGCACACTTCTCAATCAGAGTATCAGAGTACATCGTATAAGAGCACAATTTTTTATCGCAACATTCTTTTCTTTCTTGTGCAAGATTGTCGTTCTTTCAAAAGGGCAGACTATGCAAATACTTTTCTTTCTGTTGCTCATTGCATGGCGTACGTTTCATTGGCGATGCTTCGATCGTTTTGTCGCAAATTACGATGTAGATAATAGATATTTGATGCTATTACGTCGAATTATTATACTCTCTCTCTCTCTCTCTCTCTCTCTCTCTCTCTCTCTCTCTCTCTCTCTGGTTGCTTCTCCAGTTAACGTCCGATAAAAAAATTAAATATAATGCAAATAATATTTACAATGAATATAACATAAATAATATCTCGTTAGATATATGATGCGTTATGTTGAATATGTATATATATATATATATATATTCAATATATATATATATATATATATATATCAATAGTTTACTTATATCGATATTACGTACATGCTAAAAAATCACAGATAAAAAGATTAAGATTCAAGATCCAGTCACTATAAATTATTATTAGCTCATATAATTAACTCGCTAATACAGTAACATTTTACGTTTAAAAAAAAATATATATATATAAACATAGCCAATAATAGTCTCTCGTGTCATCCGTTTGTTAATGAATCTTTGTCTGAGATTACTTGCGAAATTAAATCAGGATAAAACGACTTCGCAAACAACTCTGATTTTTTGCGAGATTGCCAGCTTTAAATACATTTGACGCTGCGGCGTGTCAAGTAACGATCGTTTCTCATAAAAAAAGGAGAGAAAAAAAGAAGAAAGAAAGGAAAACGATGTTGTACGTAACATTAGGTAGACGATATAAATCGCGAGCGGCCCACGGAGCAATTATTTACAACGATAACGCAAAACATCGCCGATGACGTAAACGAAGGACAGACGTCGAATTAAGCAACAATGTCTTTATTAAATTAGTCACTGAATTCACAGCGTTCACAGACACTCGCGGCGCGTCTCTCGTGTCACATACACACACACACACACACACACATACCACACATCCTCCTGCACATGTCCGTCCATGCGTGTAAACGATAACACGGTAATAAAGTTATTATCGTTATTATAATACTATATGATACAAGATATAAGTACATTGGTTTAGTGATTGCAGGCTGCTCCTCTCATATCACAGCGAGGGGCGCTGCCGGGCCCGCCTCCTAAATTACACCTACGCTTCTTCGTTCTCGCGTCCGCGGCACGAAGTGTATACAACTCGCAAGTCAATTCACGCTCTGTTTCGCACCGATAGAATATCTCATACATATACATCTATATATGTATATATCATCTCGTTCTCTCATCCTTATATTTATATTTGTAATATACATATATATATATGTATATGTACTTTTTCTCTTTATATATATATATATATATATATATATATAGATAGGGTCTATATATATATATCTTTTTTATCATTATGTATATATTTATAACGCAGCCTTAGTTAACCCGGAGAGGTGACCACCACTGTCGCGAATGGACGGTCGAATTGTGTCGGGGACACCTGTTAGGACACGACGCCACGTGTCTTGCGGCCCTAGATACACCTACGCTCGCCCTACCCGCGAGCCGAGCTCAGTCTAGGCGCCGTGCCTAGCTCGGGGATTCCTAATCCCGTACGAAGGATTCGACGTAGCGGAAATACGTGCGTACGTAACGTAACGAGGCCCGATCGCGTGCACGATCAATATTTCAGCGTAGCGGAGCGTCTCGCCGGCCCGCATCACGCCAGCTTGAATAAACGATGAACGGCGTCGCGATCGAGCCCCGGAATTTCTCGAATCTCGAGGCTCTCCGCATCGAGACACTGACGTTCTCGCTGTGTGTGCTCTAGCACTAACTCGGCAGTCGTTAATAACGGACCGTGTACCGGCCGACCGATCGGATCGCCGTCGTCTACCGATCATCCCTTTTAACGCATTAAGACTAGTGTGATAATAGGAACATGGCGTCTTCATTCGCTGGCATCGGGACCACCGGGCGTCGGGAGGAAGAGGATGAGACTGGGGTGGCGGGGGAGACAGGGATATGTCATCGCGCGTACGCAGAAGAGAGAAATGCCAAGAAACACTCGACCACCAACTCGGCTCTCGCACGATTGCGCGCGATTATGACCCGAGACAGCGACTGCTGCCGCGATGCGAGGGATGCGCGCCTCCGGCCGATCGCCGTCCGGAGAGCGCACGAGTCCAAAGATCGTCCTGCTGTGAAACGGAGCACGGGGAAGCACCACGAGAGATTCAAGTAGCCGCGACACTCCTTGCCTGCGACTGCCTCCTCTCCTCTCGGTCACGTTCGCGGTGGGATCATCGTCGCGCGGATCGGAAGCACTGATTCCACTCGCGACGAGAGCTCGCCTTACCCCCCCCCCCTCCCCGTTTGGATCGCGTGTCCGAACCGACACGTCGGCGGGGAGACCTTCGCCGAGCGGAGGACGGAGGACGGCGTCGAGAAACTGCCCACATGCCGCTAGCACTCGTCGGTTGCGATTCCTCCTCCTCCTCCTCCTCCTCCTCGTCCTCCACGTCCTCGTTCGTTCGCTAAATTATTCAGTCTGGGGAGTTCTCTCGAAGGAATCGATCATACAATCAGCCTCTAACTCGGCCAAGCCTCGGTGAGCGCGCTGAAGGGCGGCCGCGCCCTTCGCGACTACGAGGTGGTGAGATATGTATTGGTTAAGCTTCACGCGGCCAGTCCCTCGCCTCGGGTCGGCGGCGGCGGCAGTCGTGCGGCGGGTGGCGTCGCGTCGTTCTCACCTCTGCTCGGCGTCTCGCGCTCGAAATGATGCTGCAGCGAGTCGCCGGTCCAGGAGGTCACGCCAGCGGAGTTCTGGCTGCCGCTGTTGGAGGACGGCGTGCCGGGCGAGTGCGATGGCGACGGCGTCTGGAAGAGCATGGAGCCCGAGGGAATCGCGGACTTGCCGTCCACCAAGGGTCCGTTGCTGCTCGCCGCCGTCGGCTGCTTGTCCAGCGGGAAACCACCCCCGCCGGCGCCGTACACCGAGCCGAACAGGCTCGCGTACTTGCCCGCGCCCACAGAATGGGGCGGCAAGCCGTTGTTGCTTTGTATCACCGAGATCTCGTTCAGCTGTAAGCAATGCACGCCGTCTGGTTAGCTTTAATCGGGAGCAATTGCCTACAAAAACGAAAATAGATGATAATCGTTAATCCTTTCTACGTGAACCCGAAAAGCGTCTACGCGATATTCGACTTAACCGTGACTCTTTCTGTAGCTTTCTCTTCTTTTTCGGATTAAGTCGCCATTGACTCGGCGCGCAATCAAGCAGTCTCTCGGACCTTCTTGGCGATGAAACAAGACTTCCGAGAGTTCCCGAATTCAAAGTCTAACAATCTCTACTAATATCAATGTTGTAATCAACATTGTGACTTTCTTGTGAGATCATCGTCAATTTGAAAGTTCCATTCGGCGCTCATATCGACTATCTTGAATACGTTTCAGAATCCAGTTGATAGGACGGCTCACCTTCTGCTGGACACCGTTAAGGAACGGCGCGGGAAGGTACGGATAAAAGAGATCCGGCCGTCGTTGCAGAAACTCCGAGTCCTTGGGCGTGATTGGCAGGGGTGGCAGGTCCAGCGACATTCGGCGGCCTCGGCGCGACGCCCCGTTGGACCACATATGAGTACCCAGGTGTACCTACGACACAGAGAGGAACGCGAGGACGCGATTAGGCCGTGAGTTCGTGCCGGTTCGTTACGGGGTCGAGTGTGAGCGCTGATCTTTCATCGAGCTCGAGCGGGATTGTTACGTTGCACGAGCACGCTGGCGTTAGTAGAAAGCGATAGCGACTAGCTGCTGTTAGTGGAGACTATTGGCGCCAGGTAGCCTTGTGGAAGAGCTCGGACTTTCGGAAACAGGAGCTAGAAAATATAATGTTTATACCTTGAGGTTGCCTTTGGTGGTGAAGGCCTTCTGGCAGACGTGGCATGGGAATGGTTTGTCGCCAGTGTGGGTTCTCATATGGATCTGGAGCGCCGAAGACGAGGAGAAATTCTTATTGCAAATCTGGCACAAGTGCTTGCTCGGCACGCCTGCAAATACAGATAACGGTTTCGCTCAACTGCTCCTGACTTTGTGGTGGGGAGAGGTACGTATGATCTAAGTGTGTCGTCGTTTGCGATTGTCGGCTGGTGGAATTCGCCGTCGAAAATTATGTGCGGCGCGGATGGACACAGCGGCCGCTCGGTAGAGCCTTTGTCCGCTAATTAAATAATGATAGACGCGAGTGGTCTTTGTAGCGTCGCAGGCACAGGTATAAGAAATTCAGCTCGTTCTGCGCGTGAGCCGAGAAATAAAAGAAGAAGAAGAAGAAGAAGAAGAAGAAGAAGAAGAAGAAGAAGAAGAAGAAGAAGAAGAAGACGACGAAGAAGAAGAAGTAGGAGAAGAAGAAGAAGTAGAGGAGAAGGAGGAGGAAGAGTACAAAGAGAAAATGAGCATAGCACTCGTCATCAGCGATTCAACGTGCGCGATTGCCAAGTGCGTTGGAAAATGACGCGTGGAGAAAAGCGAGGTGAAGAAGCGGCTGGCAGAATAAGAGGAAGCAACGGACTAACAAGCGTGCGAGGCGGTGCGAGCGGCAGTGGCGGCGGCGGCGGCGGCGGCGACAGCAGCATCAAGCAGACCAAACTATACGTGGTTTCGGTTAGCGACAAGAGCTGGAGTTACGATTAACGACGCGTTAGCGATAAAGAACGGGTCCGCCGAGCGAAGCAGAGTAGTCCGAATAATACATGTGGCGCTCGATGAAGAAACGAACTGAGTCTGTTTTTCTTTCTTCCCGCCCTTCTCTCTCTCTCTCTCTCTCTCTCTCTCTCTCTCTCTCTCTCTCTCTCTCTCTCTCTCCGTCTCTTCCTCTGTCTTTCTTACTTCGCGGGAAAGCCAGCGAATGACGTACTCACTGGCTGATCTCTTCGGTGCTGGTAGATTTCCGTCCGGCGGTGACCTTTTTACCGGCATCGCGGTCTCGATGGACGTCGGCGGCATCGGAGGGGGTGGCGGCGGCGGCGGTGGCGGGGGCGGTAAGCTCGAGTCGTCGTTGCCCATAGGACTCCTGGAAGTCTCATGGTCCTGCGATTGCTGTTGCTGTTGTTGCTGCTGCTGATGCTGCTGCTGCTGCTGCTGCTGATGCTTGGTATCGCTGAACAGATGTGGCGGCATATCGCGGATCTTGTGAGTCAGCATATGCTGCTTCATATTACCCTGCGAGTGAGAGAAAACACGTCCTTTTATATTTAATCAAGTAATTGACGGTGGTCCCTAGGAAGGAACAGATACGGCATTGTGTTATCATGATTGTTGGATGTCTCTCACGAGCGAAATAATCCTCTTGTCTCTTGAGGCTTTGGCTCGAAATATTGCAAAGCTATAAATATTCGACCGAATAAGTGGCGGCGATCTTTCTTTTTTCGCAATCTTTCCAAAAGTCAACTCGCGTGTACCCGCTATTCGTGAAAACTCTATTATTCATCAGCCTCGAAAGATGATAATGCTTTGTTTTCAGCTGAAATGGAAACTTCGCTTCGTAGCCCCGAGGAGGTTAAAATCGAAAGTTCGTTGGGATATTGCGTTTTACTTGATGCGGGCTGCCCGATATTATCATAAGCGCGATCAGGTAACTGCGCGACTTTGCCAGGACGTTATCGACCTTGTGAGATCGCGGGACGAGCGGACGAACGTGAGTACGTTTGCTGTTCAGAAGGCTCTTACCAGGAAGACGTGGTCCGAGGGTAGAAGTCCGAGGGCGGGTGGCATCAGCGGGGGCAGGCGGACGACAGGATAAACAGACGTCAGCCTTCGCCCCCCTCCTGTTCCTGTCCGCCCCCGGTTCTTCCGCTCCTCAGGCCGCCGCCGCCTGCGTTTCGGTTTCTCACGACTTCCGGCGGCTGATCTCGCCGGATACGTGTGATATTGGGGATTGGGTTGTGGGGGGATCGAACCCTTCGCGGCGAAGGGTTGGTCCGCGCAGGAGCATATTTGCTGACCGGAACCGTCGTTCTGAAATTATCGCAGAACAACGAGAATATAGAGGCGGTGCGAGAGCAGAAGTGCGGGGCTCGTTTCTCATGCGTAGAAAGCTCCGTGCGAGAGAAACGCAACATCTGACATTTTAACGTCGATTGACTGTGTTAAACTCGAGATTCGCGTGTGCATCTTAGCATTTTAATTGCATCGAATATCGAAGACGATGTGTCGTAGAAGGGAAGAATAAAAGGCGACGGCAAGAAATGGGGTATTTCATTTTAATATATTCCTTGCTCTTGCTCTCTCTCTCTCTCTCTCTCTCTCTCTCTCTCTCTCTCTCTCTCTCCTTTTCTATATTAGTATATCATATATGAACACGTGCATATTTTTGCAACAAAAGGTGCACGGATGCGCACGGACGATTACAATATCGAGATAATTAGGTGCGTCAGAGTCAGCGATTTATTTCGACATGTGGTGATATATACAAGCGAGAGGAAGAGATAGAGAGAGAGAGAGAGAGAGAGAGGGGGGGGGAGAAAGAGAGATTAGCGATATATTCGCTCTTTCGTGGTAAAATAGATTTAATTACCTTCGTGGAAAAGCCTCGGTCGCATATGCTGCATTTGAAAGGTCGTTCCTTCGTATGACTCCGGTAATGAATCTCTAATGCGGAGTTGCACGCGAACGTCTTGTAGCAGATATTACATGTGGTGTTTCCACGTACTGTAACAGATCGTATCGCTTTACAATTTCGACTCAGCCTTCCGCCTGCGGAACGTGTACCATCGTTTTTGTTTCTCTTTGAGGAGGACATTTTTTTGCATTTCCCGCGCGCTCATTCACGAAATCATCTTCCGGTCTCCCGTGTCGCGTGAAACTTCTTCGAGAATTTCTTCGACCGACTGACTGATTTGGATACCTCGTAGTGTACGACAGTGTTCTGACCTCTTCTGAACGAGACAAATAATTGCGAGAAATTAAGATAAAACGAAACGGAATGCAGTAAAGAGAGGATGGGGGTGAATCGTGAATGCAAGAATAAATTGTACAAAAAAAAGTTTATTTCTTGATTCATACAATGTTCAACGTTACGGTCATTTATACGTCACGAGTAAATGCTATGCCACATAATATGCTATGTGTCCGTGATTTCAAGATCACCATCAACTAAAAGAGTAACATCGTCTACGATAATAACAACGAAACGGCTAAACGCTTACAAAACTGAACAAGGTACGCAAATAATTCTCCTTCGTGTACATCGATTTGTAAAAGATCTTTTCTTTCCTCGTCTTTCCTAATCATAAAACGGTAAAAACGTCTTTCTGCGTTAAAAGTGATCAAACGTTTCATGATATGTATGTCTATACACGCGCCCTCGCAAAACAGACCAGACGAATACAACGAGAAACAGAAACCATCGTGTGAGAAACCATGGGAGATACAAAAGGACAGAGTTTCTCGAAGCGTCTGATAGTAATAGCCGTCTAACTCGTAGATATAATGCACAGAGATACACAGAGATGCAAAGAGACAGACACAGAAAGAGAGGCACAACGACATAAGTGGAGAGAAAGACAGACAGACAGACAGACAGACAGACAGACAGACAGACAGACAGACAGACAGAGAGAGAGAGAGAGAGAGAGAGAGAGAGAGAGAGAGAGAGAGAGAGAAAGAGAGAGAGACAGACAGAGAGGCAACTAGCGTGAAACAGTAGAGGTAAACGAAAGAAAGTCCAGAGAAACAACAAGTATAAAGACCTGAGGAGGAGACCAGGAGTGCTAGGTCCGGCTACACCACAAGTGGGACGTTGGAGAGAGTGAGACCGGGAGAGAAGTAGCGGAGAGACATATCACAGGGACAGAAGGGAAGTGTGTGCTCGACGATATCGTGGATTCAGCGATACGTGGCAAAGAATCGTGATCGTTGATCGGACCAGGGGGGAGGGTGTAGCAGGAACTGCAGCTCGGTCCGATGCTAGCAGCGCCTACCTGCTGACCCTCCGACAGCTAGACCGAGCGGATTGTAGGAGGACGTCGCGGCTAGTACGGCCGAGGTGGTCAGGGAAGCTAATGGTCCGCTGCCACCGCTTCCCGGCGTCACGGCGCTCATCGAGGCGACGCTGTTTATGCTCGACGAGCCTATCGTGCTCGTCGCCGGGCTCGAGGACACCGCTTGCAGCAGCCCTGCGAACATGCCGAACGGATGCGGCGGGTGGTGCGGTGCAGTCTGGGGCGGCGGTGTCGGCGACGCTGAGGCCACCGAGGCTGGCGTCGAGGAGGCGCGTGGGGTCAGGTCGAGCGGCGCGCCGGAGGTCGGCGGACTGTCGCTTTTCTCGCTGCCGTTGTATCGGTGAAAGGACGGCGACCTGGCGACGTTCGCCACCGTAGTCGTAGCCGTGGTCGTGATGGTCCTCACTTGGTTCTCGAGTGCCGCTAGCGACGTCGAGAACATCGGCAGCGTGAGGTCCTTGTGCTCGGTCTCGTCAGCCTCGTGTTCCTGCTCCTCGTCGACGTCGGCGATGCGCCGGTCGCGATTCACCTCGCACCTCTCGTCGTCCTCCCTACGATCCTTCTCGTCCTCCTCCTGATCCTCCACTTCCTCGCTCTGATCCTCCATGAATCTCGGTTGTTGCTGTTGCTGCTGCTGCTGCTGTTGCTGTTGCTGTCGTTGCTGTTGCTGCGACTCCTCCTTCGGCTCGATGTCGTTGTCCTGCGCCTGTCGCTCGACCGTTGTCACTTGTCTCGGGGGGAAGCCCAGGTAGCTACCGCCGGTCGGGTGCAACGGTGGGAAGCCCTGCGGCAGGAAAGACGCCAGCGGATGATGATGGTAACCGGACGGAAATTCGTTCACCTCCTCGGCTTGGATCTGTTCCGGGCTGAGATCAGTGGGCTCGCCTGTGTGAAGGCGTATGTGTTGCTGCAGCACCAATGAGTTCGTGAACTTCTTGTGGCACACGGGACACTGATGCAACACTCTCAACGGCGGCTTCGCTCGGTGCACTCCCATGTGGGTCTTGAGGTTGCCCTTCGTGGTGAACGCGCGACCGCAAATCTTGCACTTGAACGGGCGCTCGCCCGTGTGGGTGCGATAGTGCATCTGCAGTGCACTCTTGCAGGAGAGCACCCGGTGACAAATGACGCACTGATTCGGGTCAGTCAGCTTGTGCTCGATGTTGTCTACCAGCTGCTGCAGCTTGGACGTCTCCGAGGTTTTCGTTATTTCGATTAAACTCTCCCAAGAGTTGTCGTTGCTGCCCGGCCGCGGCAGTAGGCTCGAGTAAATCGCCGGGTCCTTGGCCGGATCGATCATCTCGCCCGTGGAGACGATTGGCGTCGCGCCGCCGGTCGGCGCGGACAGATGAGGTATCTGATGGTGCGCCGGCGGACCTGGAAACAGAATCCCGGCGAACGAGGTCTGAAGACTGCCGCTACTCGCGCTGCTGCTGGCCGGAGACGCTCCTGGATACGCGACCATCTGCTGCGGCAGGCGACCGATCACGCCCCTGCCGGACAGGTTCTCCGGTTGCTCCTCCGTCTCGTCGTCGAGCTCCAAGTCACCGTCGCCCTCTAGGCGCCCGCTAATCTTGCTGTCCATACTGCAGTCGTCGTAGGTTTGCGGCTGCGATGACGGATTCGCCGAGGACTGCGGCGAATTGAGGTATCGCCTGGCGGTCTCCTCGTAGTCTTCAGCTTCTTCCTCCACGGGTTCCTCCGTTTCGTCGGGCTCCCTCTTCGGGGTTATTCGCTCGGTGTTCTCCTGACTCGTCGGTCGCGGCTGCTGATATTGCTCTTGCCCGGGTGATCTCTGCTCAAGCTTTATCTCCTCTCTTTGCTCGAGCTGTTGCTGCTGGTGCTGCTGCTGCTGATGCTTGTGCTGTTGCTGTTGTTGCTGCTGCTGCTGCTGCTGCTGGTGGTGATTGTCGTGAAAGGAATGACGAGAGTTCGACAGGGCGACGGGGGAATGCGGGGACGTCGACGGGGCGGCGGTTATGGGTTTACTAAGGTTCTCCGGCACATCCTGATCGTCCCGGTGATTAATATTCGGTGGTCGGTAAATGGGTGGCATACCGGGCAAGGTGAGACTCAGAGGTATGGGCGGCTGAGGTGGTAGGAAACTGTGCGTTGCCGCCGGATGAAACGAGGGATGATGAGAGGATGGCGGCGGCGGCGGCGGCGGGGACGGCATTGGCCTCTGCCCAGAAGCGATTTGCTGCAAGAGGGGTGGGTGGTACTTGTCTAGATGTTCTGGAACGGGATTCGGATTCATCTTTACGTGCGGAAACTTGGCCGTATGCCTCTGGAAGTGGACCTTCAGGTTGCCCTTGGTGGTGAATCGGCTCCCACAGACGTTGCACTTAAAGGGTCGCTCACCTGTGTGGGATCGTATGTGGATCTGCAACGCTGAGTCACTACCGAAGACCTTGCCGCAGTAACGGCATCGATGCTTGAAGAAGGGCTCGCCGCGGCCGCTCGATTTTGAGTCGTATGGTGGAAGGCGCGAGCCTTTGCCGCTTCTGAACGCGAGCTCGTCGGCCAGATTGTTAGCCAGCAGACCTTGGCTCGCATTGTCCAGCACTTCCTGGGCGCGTTTCTGCAGCATCTCCAGCGTGTTCGGCTCATGAAGGGGCGGCGGGTCCGTGTTCGTTATGATCGACGAGGCGAGGGAGGAGCTTATCGAGCAATGCGGTATCTGGTGCGGCTGCGTAATTTGACTGCAGGCGGTCGTCGCCGTGGTCGACGTTACACCAGCCGTGGACAGGGGTAGATTCAGCGGTGAGGCACTGCTCGTCGTCGAGGTCGGTCCTTCCTGGAGCAGATTCGGCGTCATCGGCGCCGGCGACGTCTGCTGATGATGACTCGGCGGTCGCGAGGTGGGTGGCGACGTGAGAGTCGATAACGGCTTCGTGTGAATGATCGGAGACGGCGACGCCTCCTTGCTGTCGACCGGGTCCGTTGTCGACACTTGTTGTGGCACGGGCTGGCCATGGGTTATCGACAATTGTTGCTGTAGCTGACTGATCAACTGCAACTGGAATACCTGTTGATGCTGCAGCGTGTACAATGTGCTCTGCAAGAAAGCTAGATCCTGCAGGGCCGCTTCGCTGTCGGCACCACCGGCGAGAGCAGTCGCGGCGAACTGCGCTACCGCCACCTTTGTGTTCTGAAGGGCCTCGAGAGTGACGTGACTAGTTCCAGCGGGCGGGAAGATGGCGGAGGCCGGTCCGCTCTCCACGAAATTATTATTGTTCTCCGCATCCTGCCGATGGCGAATCTGCTTGCGGGAGCCCTCCTCGTCCTCCTCCTGATCGTCCTGCTCGTCGACGCCTTCTTCCTCGTCCTCTTCCAGAGGGTCCTCGACATCCTTGTCGTCCTCGTCGCCCTGATGTGGCCTCGTCGCGGTGAGGTCCACGGCCTCCTCGCCGACTGCTCCTCCACCGCTTTCTTCGCCGTCTGAAGTGAAGTCATTCTCTTCTTCTGAAACAGAAATGAAGAGTGGTGATCGATAAGATTTATATTTTCTCTTTCTCTCTCTCTCTCTCTCTTCCTTTACATTAAGAGCCCGTGTCGATTTACAGAGTACCGCCGGATGCCGCCGCCCGGCGAGCACTCTGCTCTCTCGCGTCTTGAGGAATGCGCGACCCGGCATGATATGACGGCATTTTTCATATTACACGCGAGATTAGCGCACGCCGATGATAACGTCAGGTACGCGTATGCGTCGTTAAAACAAGAGCAGATACGTCGGCCTGTCCTTGTGCTTTTAAGATTTCACCCGCCGTCACTTAGCGCGCGCGTCAAGGTTAGCGCGGAAGATAAGTTGCCATCCAATATGCATATTACACTCAGGATGCGCGACGAAAGCAGAATCCCTAATGACGGAGATACAAGCGGCGAGTTTCCGGTTTTTCTTTTCTTACGCCGAGACGCCGTCCTTCTCCTTCGAGAGGTCAGCCAAGTGCTCGAGAATGCTCTTGATGCGCGCCCTCGAGAGCGAGCGCACACGCGTTATTTTTCCTCTCTTCTTTCTTCTTCTTTTCCGCAGCAACTTTCACACAGGCGCTTCCGTTTAGCCGAGATAAGTCAACGTACTCGCCGCGCGCGCGCGCGCGCGCGTGCGCGCGAGCGATTGCAAGAGCAAGAGACGATTGTTGCGTCAGGAGAGAAACAGGAGTTAAGTATGTCGCATTAAATTTTAATGTCGACAAACAAGCGCGGCAGCGGCGGCGGCGGCGGCCCCGCGCAGGGGAAGAGGGAGCAGGCATTTGTGTCAATGATAAAAACATTTATAAGCGCGACGATTAGTATGCCTCGCATACTCGCGTGAAACCTGCGATCGGTTTCGCGCCGCGCGAAACTAACAGCGAGCACGCCCGTCCCGCGCGCGCGTCGTCCGTCGAAACATGGAAATCGCGCGATTGCTATTCCCGTCGTCGACTTTTTCCCAGCTTAGAATCGCTCGGCCGCCTGGTTTCACCCAGCAGGCGCTTCGTTAAATTTTAGCCGCTCGTTGCGCGAAATTGACACGCACATATTCGAACTTCCGCCGAAAGATGCCGCGCGCGCGCGCACGCTCAGAGCTTCTTCAACTACGGCTTCTTCACGAACGTCGAGTCGCTTTCCATCGGCTGGCCGAGGGAGCTTCCGGTGTGAGAAAAATGAAGTGCCAATAACGTTAGCTCGGCTCATCTTTGGAATCTTCCAGCGGGCGTCCGCGAGTAGCGCCCTGAAGTCGCTCGTCGCGCAACAAATGAATCACTCGAGATTAGAATCTGAAATTCCTCTCTTCGCTCCCGGCGACGCGAGAAGACGATCGGCGCCTTTGTCCGTCTCTCTAACGAACGGACGAGTACGATCGGAAGAAGAGGATTTAGCTTTAAATCCAGGAATGTTTCCCAGGTATTCGAGGTATCACCGCGACTTGCAGACAAAACACCGGCGGCTCTGCAGCCGCCAGGAATGTACACGACAACCGGCAAAACGTTCTCGCTTCGATGTACGATGCATGCGGCGACTTTTATGATTTACACCCCCGGGGTAACGAGAGAAGAATCCCGCGAAGTCGCAATTCAACTTACAACGGCCGGCCAGGTATGTCCCGATTTATTCTACGTTTACTTTACCTCTACGTTTATATTTTGCCTCTTCGCGCGGAACCGAATCATCTCATCTCACGAGAACAACTCTCATATCTCGCGAGTCAATCCGGGCGAGTCCACCGCCGAATAACGCCGAAAGCTCAACATGTCACGTACGCTTGGCGAAACTTTGAGCGCTCCGGACAGGCGCAATCTCACGAGTCAGAGACCGCCTTCTCCTATCGCGTCGCACTCGTTCGCAACGTAAGCGCTTTCCGCTCCGCCGCGCATTTCCTCTCGCCACGTGTCAAGCAACGGGGGAGGGGTAGCAACGGCGACGTTTCAGCGACTTACCCCGCACGCTCGTGCCGAATGCGCGGCCGGACGACGGCGCGCTCTTCTCATGCCGCGACTTGTGAGGGCCGCGCGAGGACTCCAATCGGCGCGTTATGCTCCATCTCATGAGCCGCATGCCGCCCGCGGCCGCGGGGGTTGGTTGCGCGCCCTCCTCGGGCCGTGACTCAAACATTTGACGCGTCGGCGGCGGTGGTGGTGCGCGTCATTCAGCCGGCGCCGGATGGCGCGAGCGACGGCTACGCTGCGGAGCGCGGATCCCGAGAACGGCGCGCGTGTCGTCCCGCTGGCCGGAAGCGCCGTCGCACCAGCGACATCGAGCAGGTCATACGGTCGCACGAGAGTGGCTGCGGGTCGCGGTACCGGATCGCTTGAGCGCGCAAGCCACCACGAGAACGCGTCTCTTCGTCTGGGCCGCTCGTGTCATCGAGCAAGGACGAAAACCGACTGATCGCTCGCTAAAGAACCAGCCTGGGCGTAAGTACGACGCGCAACACCACCATCCGCTCCGGGCTCCCCCACCAGCGTCACCGTCGACGGCGGCGGCGGCGGCGGCGGCGGCGGCGGCGGCGGCGGCGGCGGCGGTGGCGGCGGCAGCGGTGGTTTCCTCCGCGTCCCACTACTGCTTTCTCTCTCTCTCTCGCTCTCTTTCTTCTCTCTCTCTCTCTCTGTCTGCCCGTCTGTCTCTCTTGCTCCGCCGCGGATATAGCAGAGCGCAAACTTCCACCACTACCTACCGGTTACCCTCCGCTTCGGTTATGACATGGAAGGCGGTGCGGTTCATAAATCAGGGGGAAAAGGGGCGGCGCTTGCGCGAGCCACTCACCGTCGGGTTATTAATTATTATCCAGCGCCGGGCGCGCGATACCCTGCCGCCGTGCCGTCGAGCTCTCGCCTCGTCGCCACCGCCGCCGCCACCACCACCTACGCGCGCGTTAACCCTCCTGTCCCCCAGATGTTCGCCAGCGGGAGGTCCGGAATCGCGGCGTCGCGTCGTGTCGCGTCGCGTCCCGCCGATTTGCGCTCGATTTTGCGCGGCTCTCCGTGCCGGCGTGTGTGCGCCGCGACGCGATAAATTACGCCCGCCGCGAGGATCGGCCGAGCCGCTCCGCGTTTCCGTAATTTCGGACGCGATAATACGCGCCGCGCGACAATCGATGTCGCTGATTTCCGCGCGACCTTCGGCGCGACCAGCCGACGACCGCCGCGGCGCGGCGGTCCCTGTCGTGTAAAGACCGTATCATACTAGCGATTCGCGACTGCGGCTGCGATTCTTCCTCGACCAATCAGAAAGCAGCGACTCGCGGCTGCGACTCACGATTGTCGGTTGAACGGCTTTCTGATTGGTCGAGGAAGAATCGCGATCGCAGCCGCAGTCGCGAGTTACTAGTGTGATACGGTCTTTACGCGCCCGTTCAAATTTTCCGACCTCCGTGCACTCGAAAGAAAGATACAGCTCCCCCCCCTCTCTCTCTCTCTCTCCTCTCTGTCTGTCTTTGTGACCCTGGCAACAACGGGCGCCGGAGAGAAGGCCGTTGCCGCGGCAGCACGAACGAGAACTTGATGAACAAACGTCGTTTCTAGCAGCAACGATCTAAGCGCAAGGCGGTAACCCATCTAATTCCAGTCGTCGTATATTTGATCGGGACAAAAGACGTGTCCTCTCCGCTGGGCGTGGTCGTTTGAGCTCCTAGACACGCAGCTGAGCCGAGCATTACCGGATTATATAGACCGCGAGGTCTATAAAAAATAGGTTTAGCTCGATTACGTTGTAGGGCACGGGCAAGATTACCGGAGCACACACATACACACACGTACACACATATACACACGGTGCATTCCGTGCGCGTGCGACGGTCGCTGTTAATTAAGTGTGTAAATCAAACGTTCTTTTTTCTTTTCGCCAGGAAACATGTTCAAGAGACGACGAAACTTCGCTCCGAAGGAATTTGCTCGGCTGCCGTCGAGCGGCAAATTGCCCGACTCGATTTTCACTTTTCACCAGGTGAACCCGCACGTGAATCTCGTCGAAGCGTGCTCGCGTCAGCGCCTCGCTCGACAGGCGATAGCTGGGGTTAGCACGACTTCACGGCCAGTTCGACGTCCTACGCGCGCGACGACGCAATGTTTGACATCTTTCTTCTATTCCGGCAGGAACGGCACGAGCATAATCGCGGCCGGCGAATCGAGAGCAGAAGACCGGAGACGTCGGCTCTTTGTTGCGCAACGCACGAAATCCAACCGGGCCTTTGGCGACCCCCACGGAGCGGAGGAGAGGGGACGTATTGTCGGGGAACGTTCCGGGCTTTGCCAAGGAGTAGGCTCTCGCCGTATACATCAATTCATACCGCGATAAATCATAAACTCTTAGGTAGGTAGGTAGGTAGGTAGGTAGGTGAAGAGAAGGAGGCGAACCTGCCTGCCTGCCTGCCACGTCGACGAAGAACGCAGTCCGGGCGCGCTCGTCGACTACGACTACCACGGACAATGCGAAAATGGGTCGGAAGTCATAATTCACGCTGGCGGTCTGCGCGACAGCGGCAGCAACAGCAGCAGCAGCAGCAGCAACAGCAACCATCACCATGACCGTCGTCGTCACCACGTCGCCGCCATCGATGACGGCAGGCTCGCTCGGAGCGGCTCTCCCGCGAGACAGCACAAGCATTTTAGTCTCGGCAGAAGTTACGAATTTGTCAGGAGATGGCCGCGCGATAGCCGGCGTGCACCGCTGATTTTCCAGCGAGGGACTCGGACGAACCTTCCGTGAGATAATGGCGCCGACTGCTTCGTAAAGTAGAGACGTTTCCTCCCGGACGATCTTTGATCCGCGCCGATAACGTCCCAGTCCTGTTACCGCGCGAGAGGGAGACAAAGAGAGAGAGAGAGAGAGAGAGAGAGACACACTCCAGTGAGAGTCCCCTCGTGCTAGAAAAGCGGCGGCAACATTTTTCGTGCAGCGGACAGGGCGGGGGGACTTTTGAATGCGTCGTAAAGAGAGAGGAAAAAAATGATCTGAATCAAGTATTAACTAAATTAATGAATCAAATATGGTTGTCGCGCGGAATTATTTCAACGACGGTACACCGAGCGATTGCATCGTTATTGCCGAGAGAGGAAGAGAGACGGAATCTTCGGGAATGCAAAGAAACGACGGACAATCTCTCACGGTGGGCAGGTAATTGGCAGAATATGCGGCGCGATGAGTCATTTTATCTTCAGGCGTAAATCTTTGTACGAAATCCTTGCCGATATGAGAGAAAGAGAGCGAGAGAGAGAGAGAGAGAGCGCGCCAGGATATTCACTTGTTATTTCGCTTCACTCGTCGATCTTTGCGCATGCAATTCTCTCTCTTTTTTTTCTTCCTACGCGTCTTTCTTTTTTCCCCTCACGTTGACGAGTAGATGGCCGTACTGTTTTCACGTTGCCAACCGGTTCCCGTGCTCCCGACGGAGCGATCATTATTCATCCCGATCCGGATCCGCGCGTTCGCACGATGAAAGGTACGGATCATGTGTCGCTTAGATTAAAGGAATTCCTATCTGTGCGTCTCGCTCTCGCAGGAGTGCAAGGTCGCAGCTGTCGGGCGCGAAAGAGGTCGGTCGATAAGAGCAACGACTGAACGAAGAATCAGTAAGGGTCGTTGCTCTTCCCTTGGTTTCGAGTCGCGAGAGCGGCTACTTACTACGTCGAGTCATCTCTGCCGAATACAAGAAAGATCCCGTATTCGCAGCGACGGGGTCGAGTCTCGTTTAAATAAGTTAACAGTGGCGAGCGAAGACGAAGCGGATCGGCAAACGGAGAAAGGGAGACGACGGGGAAGAGGGTGAGAAACGTGGACCTGCGAGAAGGAGAGGAGAGGAGAGGAGAGGAGAGGAGAGGAGAGGAGAGGAGAGTAGAGCAGACGGAAACGAAGGAGAGGAGACGAAAGAGAGAGAGAGAGAGAGAGAGAGAGAGAGAGAGAGAGAGAGAGGAGAGAGAGAGAGAAATAGAGAGTAAGAGCGAGAAAGTGAAAAGGGACTACGAGTGGGAGAGAATGAGAGAGTAAGAGAGGAGAGCTGAGGGAAATTGCACGTGGCGCTTCACGATTGGCTCGCACCTGTCTCCTTGGACCGCCCTCCTTCAACCCCGATCGCGCGCGCGGCGTGCCTACGTCGTACCTAATACGCTTTCTTGCTCGTTGCATATAGTATGCGCCGCGTATCGGCCGCGTGTATGCACGCCACGCGCACACCTTCTCACAGGTGCGCGAGTATTGTGCGGCAAGGTGTTCGTGCTATGGAGCCGAGTAATGAACCACCACCATCATCACACCACCACCACCACCGCCATACTACTACCATTATACTACTATGAGCAACAGCAGCAGCAGCAGCACCACACTACTACTACTATTACTACTACTACTACTACTACAACTACTACTACTACAACTACTACTACTACTACTATTAGTACTACTACTACTACTACCACCACCGCCGCCGCCACCACCACCATCGAGTATCACCACCGTCGTTGCCGCCGCCGCCGCCGCCCCCACCGCCACCACCGCTTTACTCCTACCTCCTTCCACGAACGAAGAAGCTCACCGAGTCGTTGGCAAAGTAGGGAGCCGGAACTAAGTGGGGGCGAGTTGCGGCGGAAGGTTCTCTCCCGTCTCCGGGTGAGGAAAGGACGGACGATAGTACATATTATACTTTTGTACAGACTGTGCGCGCGGGAGCGGGCGCGGGGGAGGAGGGCGCAGGGAAAGGGTGGTAGGCAGGCATAGCCGCGGTTACACACGGTTAATCTATCTCCTAGACACTAAAGCGCAAGATGGAAGTCTCCTTCCATTGCGATTGCCATATTTGCAAGCGAGCGAGCAACGCGGTGCAGCGGCCTAACCTCGATCACCGATCCGACTTCTTCTTCTTTGTTCGCGACGTACGGAGTACGATCGATGAATCATTGTCCTTGATTCGTCGTCCGCCGTGTTAATTATTAGGGCGACGACGCGAAGAACGCTTTTAGGATCGTCCTTCTCCTCCTCGCTGCAACTGTATCTCTCCTCGATCGAGATAAGCTAATTAACACGCCTTCGCGTTCGTTAAATGTCGCTCTCTCGAGTACACCGTTCATGCATGACTCTTAACCGCTTTATCTTATCGCGAAGAATTCTTATAAATTTCGAATCTTTTCGGAGGTCTCTCTTCTTCACCGCACGAGCGCCATGTAGGAGCGATTCGAGATCGTCCTTGCGATACGAGAAAATACGTCATTGTCACGTCGGCGTCGTATTTAACGGAGATGCAGTAAAAGCGACTGATATCTCAACTCTCTTTGCGAGCGCGTCGGGTTTGTTAATCGAGTTACATAATCGGATGCCAGAGACATATCGCTCGGTGTTGTTGCAAATGTTTTTCATTT